GTCCTCTCCCATGGTGCACCAACATTGTACAATTTCAATGCACCTCTACTACGAGTCTGAGGTCCCTTCATAGCCGCACAACTTGTACATTTGCGACACTAATCCTCGACATCGTCACGATAATGGATCCAGTAAAACCGTTCTCGGATCTTCAGTAGAGTTCGTTTCACACCCAGATGGACTCTTGAACAACCATTATGGTACAGCTGTCGAATATCCGTCACTTTAGCTTTAGGGACAACCATTTGCAAACGACAGCTGTCTCCTCGACCATTTTCCCATCTACAGCACAGGACTCCATCCTGATTCAGCAAGCTTGGACCCAATAGCTTTTCGTGGTCGAGCTCATCGCTGAGACGTCGCTCCACTTGGGCTTGGGAGCACAGGCCTTCATCCATTCCAGAATCGGCTTGATATCTGGATCTTCCTACTGTACATGTTGTAAATTGTCCTTCCACTCGTTGCTGAGGTGGTCTATCCTGAGCATTCTCACAGATACCACTTCCTTACTCTCTTATCAGGATAAGGTCGTCTTGATAATGCATCTGCGTTGCCATTCAATTTCCCCCTGCAGTGTGCGATAATAAAGTCGTATTTCTGCTGCTGCTGGACGGCGCGGCTAACCGCACTACCCCCGCGAGATCGCTCGCCTTCCCTTTCTACAGTTCACTTAGGGCAGCTGGATTGAAGATGGCAGTTTTCCCTGCAGCCATAGCACCTAGGGGTGTATCCTTTATTGCGGTCGCAAACTGTAGTTGCTGCATCTTCCCTGATGCGATGGGAATGTGGCGGCGCTGTCGTCGCGCCGCAAGCGAAACACACCGAAGCCTAAATCACGTTATCAAAAATTCCGAATCATAAACAGTATATATATATAACATCTCCGAACTATCACTCGGAGTGTTGGCTGCTCCCCGGGCAGAACACCTTGCCCGGCGGCAGATCCCCCCTTTTCTTCCACGGCCACAGGAATTTATATAGACTTTATATAGGCCTTTTCCACCGAAACACCTAGAATATTCCAGGAAATACCGATCCCCACCAACTATATATAGAAAATTAGAGTGTGGAGTTTTCTAGAAAGCTTAGTTCTTCTATTCGATACTAGATGACACTGGAGGTGGAAAGTTCTAGCATAGCATTTTCTAGAAAGCTCTCCTCGCTCTGCTACCCGATACTAGATGGCGCTAGCGGCATTAATTTTATCTTTTGCTAGTGGTTTATGTCTTGCAACAGTATGAAAATGCTTTAACCACTTTGTAATTCCCACAAATGTTGTAAAACAAATTGATACTAAAGAATCCTATCAATCTGAAACTGATGATGACGGTGCTGACAAAAGTAATACACATACATACTTAAGAAGACGAATTATTATAGGATTAATGTTGATGACTCGTTAGTTTAATAATTATAATATTAAATATAATTTACTGGTTATAAAGATAACTTTAACTAAGAACATATTAATAGTGTTATTTGATTATATGTCGAAATATTTGTTTTTTCCAAGATTTTATTTTATTATTATGTATTTCTATAAAGGTGTACTCATTTTATGTAATATGTTTATTAATAAGTTATTTTATATAATAAAAATTGCAACAAAATAGTTTTTTCTATTTCCTGTTACGACATGATAAAATACTTTATTGTTTCTATAAAGTGTAAGTGTAGATATACATTTTTTTTGTAATAATGTTGGGTTGTGTTAGTTATTCCAAAGCATGTTTCCATATATTATTAATAAAAACACATTTTCTTTCGTAATAACCTTGTATTTATTTTTGTAGAAAATTAGTGATTTTGAGAGTAGTATCGCGTCGTCTTTTGCTAGTGGTTTTGGAAGTTGAATTTGATGAAAAGCTAGTTTGACTGTTGGCAACACTTGTCATTTGTCTGTCGTTAAAACTCGTAGACAGAGAATAGGTTTCTCTGTCTACGTTAAAACTATTATTTATGATTTATAGCTAGCAACTAGTCATTGTCACAACATGCGTAGTATCCTCTTAGTAGAGATGAGTCGTACTAGGTAAATTTCGTACTAGGTGCACCTAGTCCAATTTCGTATAAATACTCGATCCAAATACCTGTTCCACCTAGTCCATAAAGTATCAAGTACACATAAAGTTTAGTATTGTTGGAATAGGAATAGAATACGCTATAGTTTCAAGTACCATATTTTACGTGCGTACTGCTGAAACGTGTGCAATAATGAATTCATACATCTTCCCTTCATACTTTACAAAATTATTATAATTATTCTCGTAACTAAATTACGAGAATTAAGGTTATATGAGAAATAAATTAAGATCATTTACTTCCAATTACTTCAAATGCTACTTAGTAGTACTTCATATTTTGTAAAATTTGTTTTAAAAGATGTTTATCTTTGATTTATTTGAAAAACTCTAGAATGGGAGTACTCACCTATTGATTTTGTATGTCTTGATTTTAAGCTGCTATGTTTTTTTTACTATTGCTATAATTCTATAATTGGTTGATGCAGCAGGAGAATTTAAAGTGGATTATTTTCATTTATCTCTCATATAATCTTAATAGTAACGAGCCTAATTATAATATTTTTTTAGAATATTGTTTGCATAATTCTTATAAATAACATTAAAAAAAGAATTGTTCTGAAAAATAAAAAGTGAGTTTGTCAGTTCCGGCGCACGACTGAAGTTCACTCCTTACGAACGATTATAAAATATATAGATTGGAAAATGTGGGTAAATGAACGCATTTTTATACTACTAAAAGCATGCATGACACATTTACTTATATTAATTATTTAATGTATATTCATCAAAATATATTACATAATCATCGCAACGTAAATTATTGTTTACGCTTCCAATACTATGTTATGTAGTCATGGAAACATGAAAACAGCGTCCACCGAGATCACATTCGCATGAGTCCGTACCGTATTTGACAATAGACACTCGCCTGCCTTGTATTCTTGTATAAGTATTTGGTTGAACTAGTCCGAGTCCCGACTAGTCTCGAGTCTCGAGTATTGACAGACAAAGATAGAAAGACTACGGAATAGTCTAGTTAAAAAAGGACAGAATATATTATTACACAACAAACACGAGTGCGCGTCACGTTACCTTTACGTTCATTAAAATTTGGTTCAAATTCAAATGACTGCCAAACTAATGATTTACGAGTAGGTAAAGACGACCCGAGTTGAGCGCCTAGTAACTACAGTCTACGGCAACAAAATACGAGTACGACGCGTAGGCACAGTGAGACTAGATGGATCAAGTATTTTAAAAGTTGGAATAGGTGCAACCTAGTCTCGTTAAATACTTAGTCCCTGGATCTGTTCTAGTATATACGCTTCATCTCTACCCAGTGTTGCCATATATACAGATTTCTCCGTATTTATACAGATTTTCGGTGTGTAATACAGATTAGCACTTGATACAGATTTTTATACAGAATTTTCTAATGCTATTGATTAAACTACCATAATATTCAACTTAAAACAAAATGATAATCTCAAATGGCTTAGCAAGATCCTCCGTTATGCCAAAAATATTGCAGCATTAATTTTGAAATAAATATATGGTAAAGTTGAGGATTAATGTTAAGGACTATGTTAGACTAAAACACGATTCTGTAAAATTTTCGCGATAGAAAAAAATTCCAAAGTTACCTCCAAAATAAACAATAAACCGCTGTTATTCATAAAATACTTTAAATAAGATCATGAAACTTTGCATACTAACTGAACTAACTATAAAGCAGTGTTTATGTTATTCACTTTTTTTAAATACCACTATTTTCACTGTAAAAAGAAATTACCTAACCTATCGGCATCTTGAAGCTTGATTCCTGCCGCCCCGTCAGTCAGTGTTGCCATATATACAGATTTCTCCGTATTTATACAGATTTTCGGTGTGTAATACAGATTAGCACTTGATACAGATTTTTATACAGAATTTTCTAATGCTATTGATTAAACTACCATAATATTCAACTTAAAACAAAATGAAGAAATGTATATGATTAGATACCGCGTTACACATATCCTCAAACTAATAAGAGACATATCATTGCATGATTCTATTCTTTATGGTTAATTTATTTTTTCACGGCGTAATTAGTTAGTATGGCAGCATTACAAGTGTCACTCGCTCTGCTCGAGAAATCCCCAAAAGATATTTGCGCGCTGTCCAAGGTACTTCGTTCTCGCATTCGTCGTGTTGTGTATGCATAGGTAATACATAAATATTTAAAAACATAGATACAAATTTTTATTAAATATTAATATTGATTGTGATTTTGTGAACCATTATGGCATCTAAAAAACCCAGAGTGATGCAAAAGTTTAAACGGAATTGGATGGAAGATTCTTCGTATACTTTGCATTTTGTACATTTTGTAACACAGATCTTTAAATTGGAAGTGCTGGGAAGAATGATCTTTTCAGACACACGAAAACAAACAAACACGTAAATTCAAGTCCTGGTGGATCTAGCTCGCAAACATTACTGAAAGATTTATTTTCAAACAAGAACATTGAAACAATCAAAAGAGGTTCACAAATCGCAAAATGTATTATTGTGACAGAACAAAAACTACAGCTATTGTAAAAAATGTGACTAGCATAACTGCAAAACAAATGACAATAGAAAAGTTACGAAAACTTAAATTTTCTTTAATCGTCGATGTAAGCACAGATAGATAATGTGTTAAGCATTTATGCATATAAGTACGTTTTTTCGAAAGAAAAGTTGAGGATGCATATCTTTGTCTCATACCCCTTGAAGAGGCTACTGCTGAAAAGCTATACCAACATATTAAAAAGTTTTGAGTAACAATAACATCCCAATGGAAAATCTGATCGGATTTGCCGCTGATGGTGCAAATGCCATGATGGGACAGCACAATTCATTATCATCCCGTCTATTTGCCGATAACCCTCACCCTCATCCATATCTGTGCATCGTATGCCTGTTTAAAATTTTCTAGAGGGCCCGTAACTCTCATACGAGACATTTATAATTATTTTCATAACAGACTCGAAGGAACTGGAATTCTAAAAGAGTTTTAGCAGTTCTTAGATCTAAAGCCTCATAAAATCCTCCATCTAACTCAAACTCGATGGCTTTCGCTGAGAGAAGCAGTTTGCCGTATTCTAGAACAGTTTGGCGCACTAAAATTATATCACTGTAACCGCTCTTGCGGACCACTTGAATGCTGATTCGATATTGTTCAAAAATCCACATAATAAGCTAAATTAAGAGTTTCTGGAGTTTTCTTTAGATATATTTAATAAATGAATAAGCTGATGCAGTCAGGGCGGCCACAAATTCATAAAATGCATGAAAACACGGTGACTGTTTTTAAAACTTTACTGGAATGGTACATAGACGACGCATACGTTTCGCGAAATGAAGTTGGTTTAATTCAAATTGACAATCCACGTCATTACAAATCAATAGATGACCTTTACCTAGCAGCAAAGGTTTCAGCCTCCGTCTCTCCGTCTAGTGTCTCTACGAGTTCAAACGCTCTTCACCAAGAAGATATTGAAGCATTCAAACTTAAATGCCTTGACTTTTTTATTGAAGGGGCAAATCAGGTAGAAAAAAGGTACGATTTCAGCAATGATTGTTTAAACAAATACAGTTTCTTGACCCACAAGCTGTCAAGTCTCGTAGAATTGATTCATTGGTCACTTTGGCAGTAAAGTTTCCAAATTTGATCTCAGTTGATGAACTGCAAGAACTAGACACAAAGTGGCGGTTTTTGCATAATAATAAAGATTTAACGCCTGATGAATCAGAAGATCTCGAAACCTACTGGTGTAAAGTTGCTGCAGCCGGTGATCCTGCTAACTACAGCAATCAATTATATCTTACGCTGTCAAAATTTGTTTCTGCAATCTTAAGTCTACCTCATTTCAGTGCTGCCGTAGAGAAGATTTTCTCATCTATAAATTTAATAAAGACAAAACAACGCAATAGACTTAATACAGATAATATTGAAGATCTTTTACATACAAAGTAACTGTTTGGTGCAAAACCTTGCTATAGCCTAGTGGTGGATAATAAATTACTGTCGTAATTTAGCAAAAATGTGTATGACTGAAAATAATAAAGTTATTATTAGTTCGTTTGTTGCAAATGCTTGAGTTTTAATATATTGTTTGATTAAATTAATGTTTTCAATTTTGTTATATAAAAAAAATTGTGTATAATTTCATTTAATAAGGATAATTAAACTTTATAACGTTAGTACTTATCCCTTGTTTTTTAAAAGAAGTAATGATGATGATAACCAATAATTCTATTTTGGTTTATTTGATTATACAGATTTTAAATTAAAATGGCATACAGATTTTAGCAGTTTCTAATACAGATAAAACGTTCAAGGCATCTGGCAACACTGTCTCTACCTCTTAGTAGTCTGTGGTCATAACCAGCAACCACTGATTTAGAAAAATATAGAACTAAAAATAATTTGAACACTTTTTTAAGCTTTTTGCCATACAATGACTATATCTCGCTTGACTCGGCTTGTTATTCAATCTAAAAACGTATCCAGACATAAACAAATGATTGTGCAAAAGAGGACGGCAACAACAACTCCAACTGGTGCTATACTTCCAGAACCCGAGAAAACGCCTTTTGGCCTTCTAGGTATAGTTTGTGCCGTGGTACCTGGTTTACTAATCGGAGCCGCGATAAGTAAGAACATAGCCAACTTTTTGGAAGAGAACGAATTGTTCGTCCCGTCAGACGATGACGATGATGACGACTAAAACCTACTTTAGAATTATCACTTTCATTATTAGATAGTAAAACAAAAATTTTATTATAAACTCTTTATTAAATTCATAAGTATCAAGAAAGCTTCACACTCTGTTGTTCATTTTATGTCCTTTTTAAATGAATTACATGTTAATGGTTTCTGTAAGATTTTATAATTGGTAAAAAACTTGCTAAATATATTTATTTACAAATTTAAGTATGTAAGTACAGAAAATTAATAACATTTACAGCTTTGTATGTACAATTGTTTTAATTAATAGTATATTGTACAAATAAATAATAAAGAGAGTTAATCTTAAGCAGTCATTGCTCATCTAGTCAAATGTTACTCTCAATAGTATAGTAGTAAGTTACGACAGTAAGCTTACCATACATACACTGCTGTTCAAAGTTTGTAAATGAAAAAAAAAGATATGACAGTATAATTCAGTCTTTCATTTGCTACCATCACTGTCTTTTAAGTCTGTAAGAAAAAGTAAAATATTAGCATTAGCATATATATCAATTATCATTATCATAACAATAAGTAAGTCTACTGCTATATGTAGACCTCCCAAAGACTGACATAAAGCGGAGTTCTGATCTACTTGGTTACATTATTCAATACTCTGAATGTCTCATTAAGTTGTCAATTTATCAAGCACTAATAAGATTAAAATATTTTGTGCATTATGATGTTTTCAGAAAATCAGTCTTAAGTGGGCCTTGGGGGTGGTAATTAAGTACAATCATGCTGCATGAGGACTATAAATCGGATAATCGGATGCATATTTACCTAAAGTTATTTTTTGGCTAACAAAATATGAGTTCTTAGGATATTGATTCAAACTACTTTTATGGATTTTTTACCACCTCTAGCCATGTTTCACACCTAGTGGTAACTGGCATAGAAAAATTTGGGTGTAGTTCCTTTAAAATTCGTACTCTGTTGAGAGCTTTTAAAAATATTTTTTTGACATTATTAATAAGACATTACCGTAGCTTAAACATATTGTCTCTGTTAATCCGTGCAAGTCATGAACTTAACACATAAAATGTTTCATATTTGGAAAATGTATTTTTTTATATTTTATCAGTCACATATACACTAAGCTGTCGCTACATAACGTTAGACATCCTGCACTTCATTTTTTAATTGGTTTCCCCATAAGCTTTTTAGACATTGAATCACAAACTCGGACAGAGTATGACCCTTAACAACAATTTTGTCAATTTGTTAAAATCGTTCCTATGAATTTTTATTTAATGGTTTTACTAAAAAACTTACATTTCGTCCAAGTCGGTGGTTTTGTCTCAAGATGTCCATTTCTTATTGTTTTGTTCTACACCGCGGATAAGTTTCATTTTACCTTCATAAACATGGGCCAAGAATTTCTTCCATAAAAAAGACACCTTGGAATGCTTCTATCTTGATTTTTACTATTATAAATGTATTTTTCTTTACATAGTAGGCCCGATTTGACACTTGTTTCAATGTAATAAGGTTAGTTTTGCTTTGTCAAAAATCACTGACAATAAAAGTAGGGCAAAGCAACCCACAGGGTAACTGTCATTTGTATCAAACTGGGTTTATTGCATCTCACGATAAAGGAGTATACATTTAAACTTCCGGGAATCGTGGGATTTTTTTGATAAAAAAGTGCTTTCCATAATAGCCAACATCTCAACTTTAGATAAATATGCATCTGAATATCCGATCTATAATGAGGACCCTTATGCTATTATTTAATCATATTTTAATACAAGAAGTCTTTTAGGGAATTTTATGTCAAAATTTTACCAATGTCAAAGGCATATTTATTTTTTCAGGAAGTTTTGCTGCTGCTTAGCCAAAAAACAACAACTTCGGACAATTTTTATACATTGATATCAATAACACAACAAAAATTTCTTATTGTTTTGAAAATGTTTGCCACATTTGATTGCGTCAACACTGTTGTTGGGGAGGTCTTGCAGTGCATCTTTAATGCTGTTTCAGAATAAATTGTGCTATCAAGTGCTTATGCCAATCTAAAAGTGATCATGTATGTTTGTCGATTGTAGCATACAGTATATAAGTTAAATGAATTGTCAATCAACCACCAGCACATTTGCATGTTATTTACTTCATTATAAAATGATCCTGATCAATGATATATCCACAGTACCGTGAAGGACTCACATAAGAAACTATCAAGTCTAAAGATTTGCAACAATATTAGGGACTAAGTATAACAAAACTTTTTGATAAAGATATTTAAGTCATTAATCAATGACAATATTGTTTGGTTACAGATCACAAACATTACTAAATGTAGAAAAATATTAATTTGGAAAACTCACAAATGCATAACTTGATAGATTATTTTATTTTTTATTTTATTAGATAGCAAGGTTATTCAAATTCCATTAAACAACTGCAATAAAAAATACCGTTTTATTTAAACTTATTATCAAATAAAAATTTCACCTTGTTCTACATAATAAAAGTAAAGATATAAAGAAAATTAATTGCATAAATTAGAATTTGTTAAAAAAAGTTAAAGAAAACTTTTAGTTAAGAAAACGTTTAATTAAAGAAAAGTTTGAGTTAAAAAAAGTCCCTACTATCTATTATAACACCTTTTATGTGAATGGTAAAACTGTAAATATTAATAACAATTCTTAGTTCAATTTCCATATTATACAAGCAGTTACGTTCCAATTATACCAAATGTATGACAGACAATATGAAAGTAATCCAATATGAGAATTGGAAGGATTCATAAGACTTGATCAAAGGATAATTTTAAATGAAAGTGCAAATTATAACATTTTGTAACTAATGTACTGGAGTTTAACACTACAGTACTTTAAAAATGACAAATGTTATTTTTTTAAAAATTCCCATACCAGAGCAGGTAGCAGCAAAGAAGAATGACAATTATGGCAAATGCTACCTCAAATGGGTACCTACAAAAACAAAAACATGTCCAGTGGTAAAGATTTACGGGGCTAATGAAGTATCTATAACAACAAATTAAAAGTCCGCGCGCTGTATCTTGACGTGGCTGCATAGATAGTTTTGAGGACAAGCAAACACAATGGTGACAAGAGAAGAGGAAGGGTAGGTGGTAACTAAAACTAGAGATGCGAATACGCATATTGACCGGTTACAATTATGTAAATAACCGATTATCGTTACTATCAATCATGACTACATTTTATTTCGTATTTTTTACAGTTCATTGTTGTGTAAATGCTAAATGTGGTTTTAAGTACCGTTATTATAATGATGTGCATTAAAGATTAAAAAAAAATAATTAAAGTTATATTATTTTGGGGTTACTGAAAGAATTTGTTGTACCTGTTAATATCGTGTATTTACTAAATTATATTCAAACTGTTTATATACTATTCCTTTATTGAAATACACAAAGGTGCTTCCATTATAATAATAATAATATTTAATTTATTCTATACTTAATCGATATAGACAAAACAAACTGTTTCCCTAAGCAATCTTAGTAGCGACATGCGCGATTTTCTCGGAGGGCCAACTTCAGTCCGGCCAAGATAGAATGCGCGGATCGTACTCATTTAAAAATTAAAACAATTTTGACCAATATTTATCCAATTGATAAATTTCTTATTTAGTACAATCTCCATTTAACATTCTAAAATGATTTAAATTTAATTTACAAATAATAAACAGGCTTTGTTATAGCTTATACACTAAAACTCAGAATTTTTATAATATGCCATGAATATTTGTAAAATAATAAAACACTTTTAAACATTCTTTATGTTCTAAATTTATTAAAATTAAATATATTACATAATATATGAAGTCATGAAATTTTTTTATGTTTTTAATAGTTTATTATAAGTTTTGTTAGAAATACAGATTTATGGTGCTAAGTTTTATGTAACTTACTAAAATTTACATATTATATTTGGTTCAAATTAAAATATTTTTAATTAAATTAAGATAAATCTTTAGGAATTTCAAAAAATTCCTGTTCCTTTATTCAATAGGCTAATGTACCGTTCCATATTTGGACTCAATGGACAGACTTGTTAAGAAGTTTGTTAATAACCTTGATTTGTTTAAAACTAATCTTGTCAACCTCGAGCACAGGCGCAGGATAGTCTCTGTATGCTATAGGATACATTTTGGAAAGTATGCGCAGGAATTACATGTCTTAGTTTGTCCCTCATACCTTTGTTGTCGATAATAAACGCATTTGAACCAAATAGTTTGTGTTCGTCTAGTAATGCGTCAGCAGTGGTGGAATAATTTGTCTTTTCGTCCATTTACAATCTGAGCGTCTTCAAGGCAAGAGAATAGGCGTTTATTACGCTGAGACAGCACAATTTAGAGGTTCATCATTACTTACCAGATTACTCCGAGGTGTTATTCCAGACAAGCACTGGTTTATAATAAGTAAAATAAAATATTACTACTGATAATATATTTATCATCAAGATAGCAGAAAATATTTAAATCTCTATAAAAATCAATCGCTGTGCGTTAGACTCACTAAAACTCGAAAATGACAACTGATTTTGATGAATTTTTACGTGTGTGCTTGAGTGGATAGTTTATATTCGCAATTGAATCCGGTAGATGGCACTGTTGTCGAGATCCAGAAATTACCAGTGCGAAGCTAGCAACGGAATAAAATAGAATCTTACCGAAAAATACTAATTAATCACTTGTGATATTTCATACAACATTTGATATATGACTTTTTGCAATTCTGATTAGATTTCTTTTCTTTTCTGATTAGAAATTAGAATACTGACTAAAATTTTTTAATTAATACATAAATGATTCGCGAAACAGTACTGTATTTCAGTTCATATTGAGCAATTATGTATTAAATAAATTTTCGACGATTCAATAACAAAATAATAAGATCTGAGAAAAAACTCTAAATCCGTTAAAATATGTAGGTATAACATAATTTCTAAACTTTGTATAATACATATAAACATCCTATGACGTCAGGTCGTCGTTGAAGTTTTCCTAAAAAGAAAAAAATATATTTTGGAAACTGCGCTGTACAGAGCGGTTCTGCAATATATTTTTTCATTCTGAATATTATTTGTTGGGCATTTTTTAATAAATATACATAATTATATTTATTGTACATTTAAAAATACTGAGATTAGTAAAAAAAAATCGTGTGGGTAATTTATGAAAAAAATTGGGGGGAAATACAGTTTACTCAGGAGGCCTCTTGTGCTCGCCCCAGCCGTGGAAGCACTTGGTGAACCGGCGCGACTCTTTGTCTTTCAGCGTGAGGAACAGTTTCCGAGGCCGCGCTGGTTGCATTGCTTTCATGTGTTGGATGTACACCTTCGGAATTTAAATACTGATGTAGTATTTGAATTATAATTTGTAAAAACATCATTCTAAAACTATCAATATAATATACAACCGTAAAATTAGTGTTCATTGTTAAGTCTTACTAAATGATGAAATTAAATGAAAACTGGTTGCTTGTCTATTTAAATTTTACTATGGACAAATTATAGATAGAACTCTGAACAAAATATACTAGCGTAAAATAGTAGCTTAATGATGCTGTGTTTTGTACGGTAAGTAAGTGTAGAGAATTGGAGACTCTTTCTTCTGGTAACGAATTATTGTCTTAGTCCTCAACGGCAACAACGCATTTAAATTTTGATCGTTAAACAGAGTTAGGTGTCTATGGAACATAGCTTCCACTCGTGAGATGGACTGTGGGAACGTTTGTCATACTTATTGAATGAAAATTAAATGTTCACAATTATAACCAATAAACACTCACGCCTGTCACCCAGAGGGGTAGGCAGAGACTACGGACTTCCATTTGGCACGATCCTGACATACCTCTTTCGCCTCCTTTACATCCATATATCTACGCATACATGCTCGTCGGTTAAGGGTACTTCTAACGTGGCCCATTTTCAAAATATCTCGCAATTTGGTCGATAAACTTTTTTCTAGGGCGTCCCTTCCCGACTCGGCCGTTCACATCTGCCATATGTCACTCTTTCCTCATTCATTCTTTCTATATAACCAAACCACCGAAGCATTCCTTTCTTAATCCTGGTCACAACATCATCTTGCATACCACATTTATCTCTTATCACGCAATTTCTCACCCTGTCATTCAGATTCAACCCTAGCATATTCCTTAAAGACCGCATTTCTACAGCATTTATTCTACTTTCGTGCTTCTTCTGCCACACCCAGCTTTCACTACCATACATTTAAGTAGGGACTAACAGCATTATGAATTACCATACGTGCCTTTTTGACACATTCTGGTTCTTCATAATAGAGTGTAGTGCCCCATTCACTCTATTCCCTGCATTCACTCGTCGTTCTATATCCCTATCATATCTACCATCCCTGCTAAATACACATCCCAAATACACAAACTCATCCACTTGCTCAATTAACTCTCCTTCTATTCTTATTTCACATACCGTTTTGCTTTCTTCTCTTTCAAAAACCATCACTTTCGTCTTACTTGCGTTCACTTTCATTCCCCTTTCTTTTAATTCCCAGTTCATTAATGTAACCATCATTTGCAACTCAGCCGCCGATGACGCAAATATGACTTGATCATCGGCATACAAAAGGCATTTGACGGTTAACTCGCCCATTCTTAACCCACATTCTTCATCTTTCAAAGTTTGCAAACACCGGTCCATAAATAGGTTGAACAGCCAAGTGGAAGCTACACAGCCCTGTCTGACACCTTTTTGGATGCCAAACCAGTCTGAGTAGACCCCATTGATCCTGACACAAGCACTAGAGTCCCTATAAAGAGACCTTAATGCCTGTATCAAACCAGCGCTCAACCCATATGAGTTCAGTGTTTGCTATAACACATTCTTGTCCACTCAATTATAACATAGTTATTAGTTAAAATTAAATTTGAACTTTGTTACGATAATGCTAGAACGCTTAGATATTAATACCTGAGCGGATTTGTAGGCAAGTTTGATTTCGATCTCGGAGCACTTGGCGCCGAGCCACAGGAACACCTGCTCGCCGTTATCCAGTATCATTATGTCGTCGTCAGCTAAATCATCCTGTCCACAATAATTACATTTTCTAAACAAAAAGTAAAGTAAAGTTACAGCCTATATACCGTCCAATTGCTGGGCACAGGCCTCCCCTCATTTCTGAGAGGGATTTGAACAAAGCGTGATTAATATAAAATAATAAAATAAGAGTTTTATATTCCCCGACTTTCAGACTCTTGCAGCACAGAGGTGACACAGACTGTCTATTGTTAACTTCCCAGTGAGAAGTTATTGCAAGGGGTCTGATTTTGCAGATTGGAAATTTTAACACTTTAACATAACTCCATGTTTCAAAGTCTTTAAGAGTCGAATAGTATGGTTTTTAAGAGGATGTCCGTGTGTGCACATGTACGTATGTATGTTCGGATTCAATTTTCTAAAAATCAAATTAAAAATAATAATTGTGATCAGGAAGAGGAAACACCAGTGAATAAGCCTGATGATTTTTTTAATTCAACGTATTATTATTATAAAAAAATATATAAAAGGTGCGTTGGGGTAATACCGGACGATTTTCGACTAGTTAAAAGAGTCGGGCAAAAACTTTATTTTCCATATATGTCAGATTTCTGAAACATGGCGCAAATTGTTAATGGTACACGTAATTTAGCTATAAGAAACTTTTACTTTTCAAAACTCAACAGTTTCTGCTTAAAACGTGTGCGAAGACAAGGCATAATTTTTTATATGCATGATGAAGAATTGGCCATCAAGGGGAAGATCGGACGTCGCTAAAAATCGCAAATAAAAGTGATAGGGAAAGACCGGACAGACGAAAAAAATACAAAAAAAAATACCTTGTTTTATAAAATACTGTGCAGCAGACGCCCTACTTCTCGGAGCGACTGGTTAAAACTTGGGGTCGGGGCAGAATAAAATGGAGTCTTGTACCATATTGCTAGCTTTCAAAAATATAGAATAATTCACCGGAAATTTGAATTTTACGGTCTTACCCCATCACCGATATTACCCCAATGCACTATATATATATATATTATATATATATATTTTTTTTTTTTTTTTTTTTTTTTTATTGTGGATGACTTTAGTCTATGGTTCATAATTTCTCTGTGTAGAAGATTTCTCTAGAACTATTTAATAAAACGATCTAATTTTTTCATAATTTATAAGAACCATGTAGAGCTGATCCTTTCGATAAACACTTCTGTAATCCATATAAAATATTACATGAACGTTTGGGGTGTGGATTGGTTTTCCAAAATTTTTATATTTTAATATTTTAACCCTGTCGTGTAGGTCGCATATTTGCAACTACCATTTTGTCATCATCATCATCATCATTACAGCCCTTCACAAGTCCACTGCTGAACATAGGCCTCCCCCAAGTAACGCCACAAAGCACGGTCCTGAGCCACCTGCATCCATCGACTTCCTGCATGTCTAACCAGGTCGTCACTCCATCTAGTGGGAGGTCGCCCTACACTACGCCTACCGATTCGAGGCTGCCACTCGAGAACCTTTCTTCCCCATCGGTTATCGGTTCTTCGAGCTATATGGCCGGCCCATTGCCACTTCAGCTTACTAATCCGTTGGGCTATGTCGGTCACTCTGGTTTTACTGCGGATATCCTCATTTCTGAGTCTATCACGCAGAGAAACTCCGAGCATAGCCCTCTCCATAGCTCGCTGAGCGACCTTGAGCGTCCTCATACGGCCAGCAGTGAAGGACCACGTCTCTGATCCGTAAGTCATTACTGGCAACACGCAATGGTTGTACACTTTGGTTTTCAGAGATTGAAGTATACCTGATGAGAATATGTGTCGTAATTTCCCGAACGCTGCCCAGCCGAGTTGAATCCGTCGATTGACCTATCGGTCGAAGTTGGACTTGCCTAGTCGGACTATTTGTCCCAGGTAAACGTACTCGTCAACAACTTCGAGCATAGTGCTCCCAACAACTACTGGCATAGGTGTGACATTTTTTTTTATAGGATAGGGTGACAAACGAGCACACAGTCCACCTGATGGTAAGTGGTTGCTGCGGTCCATAGACATCTACATCTATCTTCCATAACAAATCAAAATGCAGATGCGTTGTCACCCGTGAGGACTGAGATGGAATGCCTCATTTCCAGTAAAAAGGGTCTCCGGTTCTCTACATTCACCATACGAAACACAGCAGCATTAAGCTACTATTTCACGCTGGTATTCTGTGAGAGCGTGGTCCTTCCCCGGTCGAGCCGACCCATTCGTGCTACAACTATACTACTAATATAATTGCAGCATGGCTCTACCACGTTATACATGGACATTAAACATGATCTTTGTTTTGTCCATGTTCATCTTAAGACCCATCCGTTGGGAGACACCATTGAGGTCATTGAGCATAGTGCTAAGGTCCTCCAGCGATTCTGCCATAAGGACTATATCGTTGGCAAATCGAAGGTGAGTGATGTACTCGCCATTGATGTTAATACCGTATCCTTTCTAGTCCAGTAGCTTGAAAACGTCTTCCAACGCAGCGGTGAAGAGTTTCGGGGATATAACGTCACCCTGTCTTACACCTCTCTGCAGTTGGATAGGTTTCGAGCTCTGGTTCTGTACTCGGATAGCCATCGTAGCCCTACTGTACAAACACTTCAGCACTTCGATATACCGACAGTCAACTTGGCACCGCTGAAGGGACTGTAGCACCGCCCAAATTTCGACGGAATCAAAGGCTTTCTCATAGTCCACATACGCCAGGCAAAGTGGCAGATTGTTCTCTTCGGTCTTCTGTACAATCTGCCGCAGGGTATGTATGTGGTATATGGTACTGAAGCCTTTTCGGAAACCGGCTTGTTCGGGAGGCTGGAAGTCGTCGAGTCTGCGTGCGAGACGATTCGTAATGACTCTCGAAAATAGCACGTAGACGCGGCTCAGAAGGGAAATCGGTCTGTAGTTCTTCAAGAGAGCGTTGTCGCCTTTCTTAAAGAACAAGACTACCGCACTTCTGCCCCACGCCTCCGGAGTAGTGCCACCATGGAGGACGGAATTGAAGAGCTTCTGAAGGACTTCAAGTACCCGTGTTCCACCCGCTTTCAGAAGCTCCGCTGCAATTCCATCCCCGCCTGGGGCCCTGCCGTTTTTAAGGTGCTGGAGAGCCATTCTAATCTCGCTCAGACTGACGTCCGGGATATCCTCGGAATAGTGTCGGGTAAGATTTGCTCTTGGATCGTTACTCACACATGCGTGTGACTCCAACGATGATGTGTACGGGACCAGCTGCCAGTATATAATATAATCAAGAAAGAAAAGTATATAGGGAAGTGATAGGGAAAGTAATTACTCTCTCACGGAACGGTTTGAAGATAATTACTGTTTTATTCCCAAGGGATCCTTCACCTTTAAAATAAGTACAGTTCATTGGTGTCGCTAGCGCGGCACATATTGAAGAATTAAGGCGTTGGGACCGGGACGACCTCGGAAGACCCGTAATCCCCGCCTGAACCTATTTGAAGAAAAAGAAGAGGTCGACGCCCTTGTTGTTACTCCGTTGCGGAGTTCACATACGTTGTTCCCGAACCCAACGTAGGTGTCATAGGAGGTTAGGGAATCCGCTGCTGAACGAGCCGTGACAAAGACCCTTCCCTCGTTCCTGTCCTTTTTCAATTGGTTCAGCTTCCCATAGAACCTCTCAATCTCACTCAAAATCTCAGGTGTCCCGGAAACGATGCTGCCACACTCAGTCTTCAGCTTTGACAGTTGGCTCTTACTGGCAGACAGATCTCTGGCAAAGACTTTGGAGCCCTGGTTCCGCTCGATCGCTTCTTTAATACGAGCAGTATTAAAGTTGCGTAAGTCTCGCCGTATGCCTTTGGAGATCTGTCTGTTCAGTTGCCTGTATGCTGTCAAATCTGTTGACGATCTCACCTCATCTCCCGTCTAACAGCCATGAGATTAAGAGTGTGATCGGAGAGTTTTTGTGTTCTTCTGCGGCGGGTCTTGCAGAACTTAGCTCCGACCGCATGGACAGTTTCCACGAGCTTGTCATTCATATCGTCCACTGCATTGCAATCTTCTAAGGCACTGAAAGCGGTTGCGTAACTCGAGCTGAAAGGTTTCGGGATTCTGGATTAGAGCACGAGGGGGAACGGAGCGTTGACTTCATTAGACGAGACCTCTCCAACTTAACGTTTAGGTTCAATGTGCCTCTAACCATTCGGGCCGGTTTTCACCCTTGCGATCACTGAGACATCACTGAACGATACGATACGATGATACGATTTTGTATTATAAGTAAAAATAATGTCGAATTTGATATTCGAAACCGATAGTCACTTTCAATAATAAACAGATAGAGAGAACTGGCCGTTTTGTTTTGGTTTATTATTTATTATTATGTCAAAAACAGTTACAGATTTATTTTGTCAGTAACATTTATAATACGTATAATTATGCACACTTACTTCGGACTCGCGCACGAACGGTTCCGCACCATTGTATAAATACGGTTCTTCTAGTAGGGTAGTTAATTTTTAATATATTTTTATTATTTGTACCGTGTATAACGGCGTAACGGTAGAAATACACATTCTGTGAAAATTTCAACAAAAAGACGGTCGGAGAGCGCAGGCTTAGTAATAGAGTCTCGTTGGTTACCCTTTGGGTACGGAAACCTAAACATTGTAAAAGTTTTCTTTTTTATCTGTTCTATGTATTCGTAAGTATTAAAAAAACGTGTAAATGTTTAATTAAAAAAAATGTGCAGACTAAAGAGTATTGTATTTCTCGTGACAATAAGTGTAAAAACTAAAACATATGTTTCTTTGGCATATTTAAATGTTAAAATTATTATGCAATAATGCATTTTCATAATCATTAAATAACACATACATTTTAAAAGCACTAAGCTTATAAAAATAATGAAGGAATGTTCGTTAGTTGTTACGGATCAATATGTTAAAATAACGTTACACATTCGTCATTAAATATACAAACTAAGTGGTAGCACTATTCTGTCATTTCTCATTGTCCGTCTGGGTAAGACCCCCTTACCTATGTCTATTGCCAAACACCAGCACTTGCACAGCTGTGTTCCGGTGTGAAGGGAATAGAGAGCCAGTATATAATTACAGGCTGTGAGGCATTAAATCTTAGTCCTCAAAGGTGACAACGCATCTGTAGCCTTTGTTAGAAGTTGGCCGCAGGTACCATGGACGGCAGTAGCCACTTACCATCAGGTGGACTGTAAGTCGGTTTGAAAGTTCAGTTTTATAAAAAAAATTATCTATATAATAAATTAATTTAGTTTTTTTTATAATTGCTTACAAACAACATTCCGTTCGCAATTACTGTTGAATTTTAGAATAGATTCGTTAACACATTTTGAATCAATATGCATATTGTTTTATTATATGGTTCACTTAACCTGGCAGAAATCTGTACATTTCTCTGATACAGTGAAGTAGCCCTTCTCGTTTGAGCAGCGGAAGAGGCGAGTATAGTTGAGGTAGTCCGCATCTGTGTCGTACGGCTTTCGGCCGCCCAGCGCCACCCAGAAGAAGTTATCCGGCTCGTTGCCCTCCGTTAGAACCTATGAAAATAAAATGTGCTTTACTAGGTAATAAGGTCAGTTTAAAGGGAATGAGAGACACCAAAATTACAGGCTTTAATTATCTCCACTCTAAATGAAAAAGTATCCTAAAACATGCAGTCTATTGTCAGTACGAATCTTCATCCCTTACACTTTAAATGAGAACATGATTGTACAAATTCATTCTTTATAGCTTACTAAGTCTGTTTGCATTTGCATCAATCACGTATTACGAAAGAATTACAACTTTATACATTTTTGATAAGGCTCAAAATTCGTGCCAATTTAGGAACAATAAAGTATAGTGAGGTTCGCATTGATGCTCCCAGCAAGCGTTATTATAATATTGTTACGACAGCTATTTTTTTTATAAAAGAGGGGGCAAACGAGCACGCAGCTCAACTGATGGCAAGTGGCTACCGCTGCAATTTGGCCTTTCCCTCCAAGTTACCACGAAACTGCACACTATTCGATATGTCGACGCCGAGGATTCCGATTCTAGGCAGCAAGAGGAGTGCCTTGGAACTGAGGAGCTAGTTGCGTATTACTTCACATTGTACGAGAATGTTCCCAACAATAATAATAATAGATAACGCTTGGACTATTGCTGCAAGCAAAAATCAACATTATGTCAATGAAAGTAAAGGCTATTCTCATTTCGATATTGCTATCGTTATGTTATTTCGAATGTTCTAGTATTTTCCGATTGAAATAGTGGAATGACCCGGATTGGTATAGGAAGTTCTATATTTCTTTTATCAACTATAAAAGCGCGTAAAAAAGCAAAGCGAAAGTAAAATCTACTCCGACAAGCGACTACGAAAATTCCACCTATGACATCTGCGATTATTAAGGACCACACCGAAGAAGCTCAGCGATTTTGGACGGCATATTTATAAACTTACAGCAAGTTTATTTGTGGAAAAATGTATCATTTTCATCGTAATCGGCATTTTTACTCACCCCGCACGTAACAATATTAATGTTGTTAGAAATGCTCAATACATACTTGGAGGCTGACGCAGGGGTTGTTGAACTTCTCCTCGGCGATGAGCTCGATGAGGCGCGCGGAGCCCGCGTCGCTGCGGCTCCCGATCCACACGTACACGATCGCCGACGCCGTGTCTCCACTGCCGTCTAGCGGCACGTTCATCAATGCTCAATACATACCTGGAGGCTGACCCAGGGGTTGTTGAACTTCTCCTCCGCGATGAGCTCGATGAGGCGTGCGGAGTCCGCGTCGCTGTGGCTCCCGATCCACACGTACACGATCGTCGACGCCGCGTTGCTACTGCCCTCTAGCGGCACGTTCATCAATGCACAATACATACCTGGAGGCTGACCCAGGGGTTGTTGAACTTCTCCTCGGCGATGAGCTCGATGAGGCGCGCGGAGTCCGCGTCGCTGCGGCTCCCGATCCACACGTACACGATCGCCGACGCCGTGTCGCCACTGCCTTCTAGCGGCACGTTCATCAATGCTCAATACATACCTGGAGGCTGACCCAGGGGTTGTTGAACTTCTCCTCCGCGATGAGCTCGATGAGGCGTGCGGAGTCCGCGTCGCTGCGGCTCCCGATCCACACGTACACGATCGCCGATGCCGCGTCGCCACTGCCCTCTAGCGGCACGTTCATCAATGCTCAATACATACCTGGAGGCTGACCCAGGGGTTGTTGAACTTCTCCTCGGCGATGAGCTCGATGAGGCGCGCGGAGTTCGCGTCGCTGCGGCTCCCGATCCACACGTACACGATCGCCGAGGCCGCGTCTCCACTGCCGTCTAGCGGCACGTTCATCAATGCTCAATACATACCTGGAGGCTGTCCCAGGGGTTGTTGAACTTCTTCTCGGCGATGAGCTCGATGAGGCGCGCGGAGCCCGCGTCGCTGCGGCTCCCGATCCACACGTACACGATCGCCGACACCGCGTCTCCACTGCCGTCTAGCGGCACGTTCATCAATGCTCAATACATACCTGGAGGCTGTCTCAGGGGTTGTTGAACTTCTCCTCGGCGATGAGCTCGATGAGGCGCGCGGAGTCCGCGTCGCTGCGGCTCCCGATCCACACGTACATGATCGCCGACGCCGCGTTGCCACTGCCCTCTAGCGGCACGTTCATCAATGCTCAATACATACCTGGAGGCTGACCCAGGGGTTGTTGAACTTCTCCTCGGCGATGAGCTCGATGAGGCGCGCGGAGTCCGCGTCGCTGCGGCTCCCGATCCACACGTACACGATCGCCGACGCCGCGTCGCCACTGCCCTCTAGCGGCACGTTCATCAATGCTCAATACATACCTGGAGGCTGACCCAGGGGTTGTTGAACTTCTCCTCGGCGATGAGCTCGATGAGGCGCGCGGAGTCCGCGTCGCTGCGGCTCCCGATCCACACGTACACGATCGCCGACGCCGCGTCGCCACTGCCCTCTAGCGGCACGTTCAGGATGTAGCTGTATACCCAAATACAAATCGTTATTGAGCTTCTACGGACTGTTACTGTCTGGACTTTATGGAGGTTAACGTAAACGCCATGAGATAATCGATTTTCTTTATACATATTCAATAATAAGAACTAATCAACGATATACAATAAAAAACGTTTAAAAATATTGCAAGGACTTCTAGTGAGTGTAGAGATCCAGGGACCCTTTTTTACAGGAAACGTGGCATTCCATCTTAGTCCTCAGGGGTGACAACGCATCTGCGTTTTGATTCTTAATCGAGAATAAATGTATCCACTTACCATCAGGTGGACTGTATGCTCGTTTGTCACCACTATTCTATAAAAAATAGTTACATACAGATAAATACAGAATGTTAAAAATAATGTTTAGTCATAAAATTGTCACACACTCACCAAAATGCGCTGTTGAGTTGGGAGGCATCCGCCTTTATTTGCACGAGGCGTGTGCAAAGTGCTGAACCGTTGGTGCGCAACTCGAATAGTTCCACTGGTGGTCGTTCACCCTCCTAGATCACATGAATTGTTAAAATAAAATTGACTTAATCTTTTATTTATGATACACTTTTGAAATAAGAGAAATGCAGTAAGAGTTTGAAATTTACTAATAATAATATCACAGGATGTCTCTAATAAAATGTCTAATAAAATGTAAATGATTATCCGGCTTACTTATAATCGTTGATTATAAAGTATTAATCACCTGATCATCTGATTAATCTCTGTTATCTTTCTATTGTCACTTACTAAAAAGAGCTAAAGCAACCTTAACTATTTCTTAATTTGTCGTCAATTTAGCTGTAAGGTATATACTGTCCACATCTTTAAGGATGTATACAGGATTTGAGACATTTTAAAATATGTGTGGATTCTCTTTCGTCGCAGCTGAACGAAGATACACAACATAAACATGTTTAAAATTGAAGAAGAAAATGTGTCTGTGTACCGGGTGGTGGTTGCGCTTGCCGTCGCGTATTATGAAGCGGCGCCGGAAGTGCGCCATGAACTTGAGGCTCTCCTGCTGCTGGTGTGTGCGCACGACGTCCAGGCGCCGGCACAGCTGCTTGAACTTGCGCTCCAGCCCGAACGTGAACGTGAGCCAGCCCATGTTGGGCGCCTTGCGGCCCTGCCAGAAGTACACCACCCATGTGGCCGCCTCGCCCTCCGCGCCGCCCCCGCCGTCCCCGCCCCCGCCGTCGCCCTCGCACCATGACCCGGAGCTCTCCTCCTCCGCCTGACACGTAATTACCAACATGAAAAGGCGCATGAGTGCAATTTGTTCTACCTACACTAAACATTTCCCATTAGATTAATTACTTTCATTTTTGCTTAAGAAAACTAGAGATATATCGATTTTAATATAAAATAAATGGTTTTGATCATGCTATTAAGTGTTGGATAGAATAATTTTTATTTATTTAACAGTTTATGTACACACATATTTCGATTTTTATTGTTTCTTTTTTGGTGACGTTACCATAATTTTTCCTTAAAACACTTGACATACACAATGGTTAGATCAAAAACAATTATTTTTACAACGCCAGCAAAAGTTGCCAGTAGCTATTTTGGTTGCAAAAATAGATGAAAGGGTATCTTAAAAGTATTCAGACGGACTCTCAGCTAGAAAAGAGTAGTAAATAGATTGATAAATAGAACTCTCAGAACTTCCAAAACCGACAAATGCTAATGTGTATTTCACGAGATACTGGCAAACTCACATTTTACTTCACATTGCACACTAGCAGTGGTAGAGCCACGCGGCAGCCTCTGCACTTGCACGTATGGGCCGGCTCGAATCAGGGCGGTACCACGATTTCACAGCGTGAAGTATAAGCTCTGGTTCTGATAAGCGCAAGTGGCCGGAGGCCAATTCCCCCCATCCCCCCCCCCCCATGTTAAGCACGGTAGCGAAGTTAAATAGAATACTATCCAGGAGGGTATCAGCACCAGTGGCGAAGCTAGAGCTCAAAGCTAGGGCAAGCCCAAGATATAAATTGATATTTGTTGTTTTTAGCAGTTTTATAAAAATACACCAATCTTGATCTGTCTCCACGCTTCAGTTTCATATTCAGTGCTGTCAAGGACGTGTTTAACAAAGCACACAGAAGGCATACCACAGCTAGATAGATTGTATTACATATCAGCAATTGCATAGCTTCGGTGGCTTTGATGAAAGCCGTTTGGGTTTGTTAAGCGAAAGAAAAAAAATATTTACATCCAATACAATACATGAACAAAAGTAAAACACGAACAAAGTACAAACAATGTACAAAATTAAAAAAAAATATTTACATTCTAATGGATAAGAGATAAGATAAGATAAGTGGAATCGTCTCGCTTTCTTATGGAAAGATTTAATTACGTCCACGTAAAATGTTGGTGAACGTTTTAATTGTACCAATAACTGTTTTTAATTGCGATAATTGATAAGTCTGAAATACACTCTTAACCTTATGTATTATCTCAACAAAGTTTAAAGATTTCCTCTCCGATTATCACTTTAACACACTTCAATTCATCACAAGGAACACTATTATCCTCCATTTTCATTAAAAATCTTTAAAAAAGCATAAATTTTGAACTCGTAATATTAAATCGCTTAAGATAAGTACACAGAGTAAATAAACATTGAAACGTGAAATGAACTTGCAAACGTATTGCCCGCGCGCCTCCGCTTTTAACAAATTTATTCCCAAAAGCCTGGCTTTAAATCTCTATACTAATTGCTATATATACAATCGTAGTTATATTTCATTATAGAATATTTTGCCATAGGTTAGAAAGAGAGCGATCGTCTTCTCGAAAGCCCCGGAAAAAGCCCACGCGAGCGAGGGAGACAACTATTAGCTCTATTAAAACTCATTTTTTATGACAGCAGCAGTATCGCTAAGGCAATACGAGGTCATCGGTCGACATGTGTCGAACAGTGGAGTGCGCGGGAAATTTGAAATAGCTTGAAACATTTTACGAGTTATTTTATTAGTTGATATTATTGATTGATTCAGGTTTAATAAGGCAAGCCCGGCTTTTCGGTTTTAATGGAAGCTTCGCCACTGATCAGCACCCCTGGTGCCGGAGAATCCTCCGCTGAGCATCCTGTGCCTAGGGTGCCCTGCGTATTCTGGAGGGGGCGAAATTTCACTCGAGACGAAACCTGCTCGCCGGGGCAAACGGAGCAATAATACAAGAGTGCATTCTGCCACGCTATCTGTGAATTTCTGCAACATCAGGGGATTGATTCAAACCTTAACACCGTCCATTACCATCTGGTAACGGTGAAGCCGGCTTTGCTCTTTCTAACCGAGACACAGGTGTCCTCAGCCAGAGCTGATGCTTCGTATCTCTTCTACCCGTGGCACAAATTAGAACACTCCTTTGTGCGAGACCACAACCGATTCCAGCGACGACCATCCCTGCGTCGACGGGTGTCTCTATAATTCCCATAGTAGTAATGCCGGCAAAGATCGACTCATCGACCACGTCCAAATGGCTGCAGACTCCGTGCAACAAAAGGTCCCATCCGCAGAGATCGTAATTCTTGGTGATTTTAACGCCCACAAAAGTTGAATGGCTTGGTTCCGTTTAACCGATCATGCGGGTAGATCTGTATTTGCTTTTGCTTTGCCATATGGCTTGACACAACTGGTTACCTCGCATACGCGGATCCCAGAAAATCATGTAAATTCCCTTCTGCTGACGTCTGATCCGGGATATCAGGTCTCTTTCGATGCCCCTCTTGGCTCCTCGGACTAATGTCTGATCCGGAGTACGGATCCGCTCCCATCGCGGTTGCGTCCTGCATGTTGCCGCACTATGGCACTATAGGTCAGCCGATTGGAACGGGATGCGATCTTTTTTTGCATCCTATCCTTGGGGGCGGGTTTGCTTCTCGCCGGATGATCCCAGCGTTGTTGCTGATTCTGTCGCTGATGTAGTACTAAAGTGAATGGAACTATTTATTCCATCATCTGTGGCACGTCTCGTAGCTCCTGTAAAATTGTGTCACGCTATAAGCAGGAGTGCTACAGGGTCTGGGTTGACGCATCGACGTCTCGGTATACAATACCAGCACTCTTAAAAAGAAGTATAATTTCACCTTCAAAAGTGTCGTTGCCAAGACAAAGTCAGAGAGCATCGGCTGAATTGGCGAGAAACTAGTTCAATTTCCTTCGAAAACACGTGCATTCTGGTCTCTCGCCATGGCTGTCCAAGGGAACTTCTGTCAACCATCTCTCCCATCTCTGCACAGGGAAGACGACTCGCTGGCCCACGCCGCAAAGGACTAAGTTGATCTGCTGAGCTCTCTCTTTGTGTCCAACTCTTGGGGACTCTGGAGTTTACCCAGCGCTCGGTGCGCAGAGCACTTCTCTCCCTGGACGTCAACAAGTCGAGTGGGCCTGATAGCGACCCTCCTATTGTGCTGAAGACGTGTGCTCCGGAGTTAACTTTAACTTTAACTCGGAGTTAAGCACCGGTTTTAACGCGTCTTTTCCGGTACTCGTACTCCCTAGGCGTAGTCCCGAACTTATCTTCTTCGCACAGCTTACTTGTGGAATCGTCTAGCACCAGAGATTTTTCCGCATCGATAAGACTTAGGGAACTTCAAGAAAAGAGCCTACTCCTTTTTAAAAGGCCGGCAAAGCATTTGCACATCCCTTGGTGTTGTCCAGCCATCTGTAAATGTACATGTACATTTCGGTAGAATTTACAGAATATTCTAACATAAATATTCTCATAATTCTCCACCGTTCATAACTTTATAGTTAGTCAAATTCATGTCTAATGTTTAATATAGCCTTAACCGATTTGCAACAGTTATGTTAAAAAAATGACGGATTTTTTGCTCGAGCTTCCAATATGCTTATACAAATAGAGGAGACTAAACATTTCTGATCAAATTAGAAAGATAGAAGGATCGCTGCGTACATTTAAAGTGACGTAAAAGCAATGCTCCGTTTAACAAGTACTCATGCCATAGACTTATTATACTACTACTTATTTTTAGTTAACAACAGTACAAATTTTGTCAAAAAAAGTCGAAAGGGATCATGTGGGTGTGTCGTGCGGGCGCCATCCGTATGATAGTTGCATTGATGCTTACTGATACTTGCGGTATTGCGTCTTGTGATGGATCTGCGGGTGTGCTGCGCCTGATTCGACGCACTCTTGTGGTTCTGGTCGATGGAGGTATGCGGGTGGTGATGTCTGCTGGGATGTATGGGGAACCTTGGGATAGTATAAGCCCAGCGATAGTCATATTGATGCTTGTTGCGTTCTGCAGCATTGCGTCTATGCGATGGTTGTTTGGTGGGTCGCTATTCTCAATGGCGTTCTCTGCGTCTTGGTTTAACTCACACCTAAATAACTTTGCCCAAGTCGGGTCACTTCATTTTGGGGCTGCAGACTGTCTGACCTCCATAATGTTTTATATGTTACTATAGAACCGGGTCATTGAACAAACAAAATGGCACCAACTCCTTGGTGCGAAAATGTTTATGGAGCACTAACGCGAACACCAATGCGTGTCGTGCGTCCGTGCAGTATTTCCACTTTTAGATATTTTGCACTATTTTAAGGTAAATCTACAAATATAGGTAGGGCTTTAGGCGTTTCTTCAATAGTTGACAGGGTTTTAAATAATTTGGGGTAAAATGGAACTTCAGGTAACCCTGTTTTTTATCCAACCTATGTAATTTCTTTTAAAGATTTATCGAAGGGGATAGGGTCAAAAGAGCTAGAAAAGTGTAGAATGAAAAAGTTTTTCATTATGTATATCGGAATAATGGTATAATATTTTACTTAGCTACATATTCGTTATTCATGTTATGAGACTATATAAGTGTTATTATAATTTGAAAATGAGAACGTCTTTTTCAACACAAAACTCAAGATTTTTAATCGTGAAATGATATTCAAATCTTGCAATCACATTGTTCTTTAAAATATTGAAAATTAGTTGTAACAAATACGCTTTTATAATTAAATTATCGTAAAAAAGTATTTTCATATTTTTACGATAATTTAGGGAGTATTTCTACAGGTTCTAGGGTAAAACCAAAATCATAAGTGGAAACACTGGTTCCGTGGTAGTTCATGTGTATTTAAGAGATGGCGCTCATTTATTTTATGCTTAAACCGTGAAAAATTTTTGTTCGCACGACCATATCTTGTCATTTATATCAATGACTCATGCACACATCTTTTTCTTTCTTTTATGTGGTATAGCCATGTTGCAGTTACATTGTGTTTGGAGCATGAATGGGTCGGCTCAAACGGGATGTTACGTATGGTCACGGACCGGAGACCCTTTTTACTGGAAACGAGGCATTTCATCTTAGATCTTAGGGGTAATGGCGTATCTGCATTTTGATTTTTAATTGAATATGTAGATGTAGATGTGTAAACTATGTTTACAGAATACAGTACTTATTTACAAACAGGTGGATTCTGTCTCGTTTATCACATTATCCTATAAAAAAATCTTCCTTTGATCAGTCTGTGAACATTTAACTGCTTGACACACACATATGCACCTAAAACTACTTTATTTGTTTTTTACAAATGGTAAAAATACCATACCAAAACCATTTGTATTACAAATGGTTTTATACAAATGGTTTTGGTATGGTATTGGCGTCACTAGCTATTTTCGCAGCGGTTCGTCTATCTTTTTTTGTTGATCTGAGTGAACAATAAGTGAGTGATATTGAAGTCGGGTTGGACCTCTGCGGGCAGCACGTAGCGGCACAGGAATACGTAGCAGTCGTGGCTGTAGAAGACGCCGAGCTCGTGGTCGGGCAGGCGCACGAAGTGGCGGCCCTCGAGCACGAAGGCCTCCATGGCCTCCATGTCCTCGTTCCACTCGTCGGCCAGCGCCTGCGCCTCGGCCGGGCCCATGGCGGGTTGCCGCGCCGTGAACAGCGCCGATAGGTCCGTCCTACACACACACATACGCATTGCCTACTACTGCCCTAATATTCGAAGAGCCGATTTACACTTCGAAAAGTGCAGTAGCGTGTATAGTTACAGGGCAATTGACAGTAAACGGTTAAATGAACAGTAGTGTTCAAATGTCTTCGTGGCGAGTTTAGTTAAAAAGTACAATTTTATATTTTGAGGGTGGTTGAACGTGAACACATTGCGTCCCGTCAAGTTATGCACTGAACTAAACTAGCTCGTTCACACGTTGAGTTTAATTGCGAGTGGCGTGAGACGCTTAACTTGCCGAAAAATAGACCGGCCAGATATCCTGTTCAACTTATGGGTCGTCCTTTAGTCACGTGATGTTTTTAACAAATTTTTAACCCCCTTCCGTCCAATTGGTGATAAGTGGTGTGGTTTACGGCTACCTCCCCCACCCAAACTTATCCGAAATCACGTGTATTTTTGGTTCAATTACTACTATTATTTTTGATTAAATTCTGGAAACTTAAGGACTGTGATAAAAATATCCATCCAGATTATGTGTGAATTTTGTTTTTGACTGGTTTATAAATAATAAAGGAAAGGCGTATTCATTCATCATTTAAAAAACATAATTATACGGGTACATGAATTTATTTAATAGCCTCGGACCACGGATTAGTGAGACTTTCATCAACACCAAGTGGATAAGCATCTTGCGAGTCAGATGTTTGCACTGTGCTTTATTGGAGATCAACGTTGCGTCGGGGTTATTCCAAGAGACCGACGCATAAGAAATGTAGCAAATATCTTGCCACCATGCTCTTTAGGCTTCGAAACATATAGGCCACTGGACGACTGCAAAATCGGATAAGAAGGAAGTGTCGGACGGGGGAATCGTTGCCTGGCGACGGTAAGTTAAGATCACGCGCCGCTTTTCATTTTAGAAATGGCGCGTTCTACAAAAAATAAATGCTGGTGATATCTCGCTATACCTCCCCCCTTGTGATATTTCCTGATTTTTTACGAAGCCCCTCCCCCGTGTTTCGAGCATCACGTGATTAATGAACGATCCCTTACATAATTGTTAACGTGCTACTTAACTCACTACTTGCCGTTCAAACGAGATTTTCAACTTAACTGGTCAGGTTCTCAAGATAAATCGCTACGGTATTTGTCGAAGTGTAAATCGGTCTTAACGCTACTCGATTTTAACATCGTCATTAAGTCTCGTGTGTTATTGTCCCATTACCACATTGTATTGCCATGAATTTGTAGAATGTTTAGAAGAATACGACAAATGATGTTTTTTTTACTAACTCATACTATTCTTGGATAGTGGGTTGGCGGGAATGGAAATGAAAATAAAAATATTTTTATTTAACATCAACCTTTAAAGCACTTTTGATAAAAAAAGAAAACCACAACATCGCTAAAATAATTCACCACTACAGAGATTTTGTTAAAAAGAACAGAAACAAACTTTCCCAAACCAGTCAAAAAGTCTATAATTCATTATGTCCACATATTTTTATACATTCTTATATTTTAAATAATAATATTCGGTGAAACCTTACATCTTTGCCCACATATTTCGGTTTTTATTACTTTTTTCAAAAAATATCCACTTTATTTTGATGGTTGCTAAAGCTTTAAACGACACTATATGCAACAAATAAACTGTTAAAACCAGGTGAATTAATTCCTAACAGATGCTGAGAAAAAAACAAAAACAGACGCGGGCAAAGTTATCTCCACTTTCTTACATCTTTGCTCAACCTAAATTTCTCAGCAACTATAAGCTCTATGATTTTGATTTTAAGATATAATTGTTAGCAAACCGACAATATTGAATACCAATACATTTTCAAATAAATAGAAGTCCATTTTAAGTTTTAATGGCGGTGGGCAATGTTATCACCACATTTAGTCACACTTTCATACTAAGAAATTTGAGGTGCTAGGGCTGTGCCTCAGATGAAAGGAAAATAATAAATTGATTTTGAGGCATTGCATTTTTTATTTTTAAAATTTAAAACAACAACTAACTAAACAACAACAAAAATCAAGAAAATCAATGTTTATAAGTAGTTGGTAGGTAGCGTACCTATTAAATATTTATAAAAAATAAAAAGGTCTCTGCTAACGTAAGCGTGCCTGTTAGTTAACTGCGTGAGTATTAGTTATAAAAAAAAGTAAGCAGCGCAGAAATTTTTTATCACACGCACCCAAGGCAGATTATCGCTCCTAATACAAAAAAAAAATAACAAGATATCTCTTCTAGAACAAAAAATACCAAAATTAACATATAACAGCCTACAACATTATCCTTATAGTGCTTAGTTCAAGAATTACCTTCTGAAATTGACAAATTAACTAACTTCTTGAAATTGAAAAAACTACTTACTAACAGTCTTTGATGTTACCCTTACGATTCTAGCTCATAATTATAGGTATAAGTATATACACTTCTCATCAGAAAAATCGATACACCTCACGAGTTTACTTATTTAATATAATACGAGGCCAGCTTATACCGACTTTGTTACCACTGATGTACGTAGTTCACCTATTATGCGTACCAATCCATTTTGTCAGCCATTTTTGTCTGCGATCGTTAATGTCTAAAATCGTAATTCTCTTTTAGACTTATTTTTTTTTTTGCAATCGAAATGACGCATAAATCTTATTAAAAAACTTTAGCCTGAAACTGAGAATATTTAAGCTTTCTCTTTTGGGAAACTAGCGGTTTCTGACAAAAATTCCAGACAAATATATATACCTATTTATTATATTTAAAATATATATAAAACAGCATCTAGTTACCTATATAGTTATCAGAACAGTAGTTTAGTTCTCAGTGAACAGTAGTTATATTATATAGGTAGTATTATAGTATAGTATTATATTGTTTTTTTTTTGATGTACCTATATACCTATATACATATTATACGTGGTAGAGCCATGCTGCAGTTATATTAGTAGTATAGTTGTAGCACGAATGGGTCGGCTCGACCGGGGAAGGACCACGCTCTCACAGAATACCAGCGTGAAATAGTAGCTTAATGCTGCTGTATTTCGTATGGTGAGTGTAGAGAACCGGAGACCCTTTTTACTGGAAACGAGGCATTCCATCTTAGTCCTCACGGGTGACAACGCATCTGCATTTTGATTCGTAATCGAGGATAGATGTAGATGTCTATGGGCCACAGCAACCACTTACCATCAGGTGGGCTGTGTGCTCGTTTGTCACCCTATCCTATAAAAAAAAAAAAAAAAAAATACATTTATTTAATTTATTAAGTATATTATTTATTATGCCTAGGTACATGTTTCCTTATTTTATTTCAATAGTGTCAACCCTATTAACATTTTTGAGCTGGGCAATGTTGTCGACCTCAGTCTATAAAATTGCTTACAACATTGCCCACACAAATTTCTCGCTAACTAAGACAGTTGTAAGAAAGAGACCATGATTAAAAGCAGCAACAATTAGTGCCCTAAACGTAAATAATAATGAATCTTACCTGCGCAGCGTTTCTTGGCAATGCGGGATGCAAAACTGCAACAATGTTTTTGCACCACCTTCGACACTGTCCCTTTGAAGGTTGCTGACAGATGACTGAATGTAGTTAGCTGCGGTTGTAGTAGTCAGTGTTGCCAAACATATGTTCTAGTTTTCTCTAGGTGCCATACAAAGTTGCCCCGTGTTAAAATTAAATTTCTATAGGTAGTTTTAGTTAATTTTCGTGTTTGGGCAAAGTTGTCCCCCAAGGGCAAAGTTGTAAGGTTTCACGGTTCTTATTTATTGGGATATCCTTTTAGTATAATATTTTTAACAGGCGCATTGAATTTATGCCACTATAAAACGATAATTTTACATTGAATCTCTCATAAATGGTATAATGGACTAAATACTAGGTTGATCAATAAGTTTTCAGAATAGGGAACTTTATCTATGAGTTATAGAAATACGTTCTATTTTGTCGAATTTTAAATTCGTCAGTAACCAAGGTCAGAAGAAAAAATTTATTAAAGACTTTAATCAATTCTTTAACTTCTTTAGCGGCGTTGTAAACTTTTTTGAAATTGGTAAAAAATGTTAAACTTGTGTCAGGACACGTGACCTGATCGAAAATTTGTAAGACGGACGGCGTAGGAGAGGAAGTATCCCCCTCTCTTTCTACGGCGCGGCAAAAATGTATGCCTGCGCCTGCTGTTTCGTTTAGGCGGCGCAGGGCGCTTGCGCGAATGTAACATAAATTGTCATGTTTGTGTAAGATAGCGCAATAAATAAATATTGTATTCTATGAATGATAGTACTTTTATACTGATAATTAAATCAATTTGTGCAAAATTATTCCTTAACCATTCCAGAATATCAAAAATGCACAACGTTAATATTCAAGTTTTCACTTCTGCCGGCACTCCCGGAGTGCAGCCCGTAATTTTTTTAAACTTCACATTTAGCGGGAATTTGGTTTGTGTGCAAAATGGAGAAACTTAAACTTTGTGCAATTATTAAATATTTCTGATTATCCTTATTTTCTACAAAGTGTTTTTGAAGAACTGCGGTCTAATTTGGCAGACAATGATCCATCTTATTCTACAGTGGCATACTGGTGCACTGAATGTAAATTTGAACCGCCTGCAATAGTTATACTCGCTCCGGGGGGGGGGTTGGCAACAACGACCGCTACGCAGGAAAAAGTTGAAAAAGTCGAAGAAATTGTTAAGGTAGATCGACGTGTGATTCGTTATTTCGTTGAAATTCTAAAGCTTTCGTTTGGGACCATTCAGTATATCTTACAATTGAAATAGATGTCTGCGCGATGGGTTATTCGAATGTTTACAGACGCCCAAAAGAAAGCTAAATTTAACAATAATTGAAGAAGGTTCAGATTCTTTTCGCGGTCGTTTCGTAACCGTAGATGAATAGTGGGTACACCATTTTCCGTCATCTTCGCCAGCCAAAAGATACAAAGGGTCAGCATCCGCTGGAAAAATAATGGTCTCTGTCTTCCGGAATGTGGAAGATATAATAATGATCGACAGAGAGATAATAATGATCGAGAGATAATAACCGGAGATTATTATTACGCATCATTAATCAAAAAACTACGCGAAGGATTAAAGAATAAACGTCATGGAAAATTGTGTGCTGGAGTGCTTTTTTATCATGATAATGCCCCTGCCCATAGATCTGATGTTGTAAGCGCTGCCATCTGGGGTATGACCCAAAATAGAAACCAGTGTACTGTCCAAAAAAACGTCATGAATCGACGCCATACTAGTGATTCGTTCCAAGACATGGGACAGTATATGACGTCATACATTTGCACCATATTAGAAAAGTGTTGGTGATTATTTTGTCATTTTGTGCTCCAAAAATCAGTATATCCTCCTAATGGAGATACCACCAATTACTCTATATTTTTTTTGTATTTAAATAAATAAAAACAAATTCTGGCATGCTTCATTCAGCGTACACACAATTAAAAATTGTTTTAATATGTCCGGATAACCGACACAATATGGCGGCGGCACGCCAGTACAATATAGCGTCAATTGATGACGTCATTTGTATTCGGCAGTATACTGAAAACGTTTCAGAACATACCCCTGAACTGCTAGGTTTCAGTTGATGCAGCACACGCCATATTTTCATGAATTTCCGAATGATTTTCACCTTTTTACTAACCTGAAAATGCACTTGCGTGGTATAAAATTTGACGGCGACGATGAGGTGATGTGTGCTGTAGAAGCAGTTTTCGAGTCTTAGGATCAAGCCTTTTTTTGCCAAAGTAATTAATCAACTTGTTAAACGCTATTCAAAGTGTATTAGCTTAAAAGGCGATTATGTTGAAAAATAAATATAATTTACATACACACATACATACTTATCCCAGAGTTTCCTTGCGTTTCCAAAAACTTATTGAACAACCAGTATTTTCAATGATTTGAAATAAGGTTTCGATAATTAAGTCTATCCCTATCTTTGGCCAATGACAAACCTGTGAATAATTAAAATGATTCATAATTTTTACTTACTTATACCGTTAAAACCATAATAAATTGCTATGCTTTGCGTTAGCGTCATAGAAGTCGATGAAAGAAAATAAAAGGTTGATTAACAAAAACTTGCATCAACCAATGATGAGGACGAGTTGAGTTCTAAGGAATATTTTACAGTTTTTTTTTACGATCTACTAAATGTCAAAATCATGACAAATCCTCGTAAGTAAAAGAAAAATAAAAGTGTGGGCAGTAGTAAAGTAGATCGAGGACAGTAATGAAGAATATTTACTTGGTTTTGAATAAAACTAATTTTACGGATTTTGTCGCGTTAAATGATAAAATTTGTACAAATATAGTTTTTTTTTCAATATGTAATATTCGCGTAAACATAAGAAGTAATTATTTACTTGGTCTCTTGTTGTTTGGCCCAACTGGCGAGATCGGCACCGGTTCGCGCAACTGACTCCGCCGTGCGGGTGAAGTCCACTGCAATCACTTCTTCCCAGCCTTGGAAATATGTTTTGAAGACCTGGAAAAATAAAAAATAATATGGGTATGTAGCAAAATGGTTAAAACACCTAAATTTTGTAAATAAATTCGAAATTTACTGCAACAGAGCCGTGGTAAGATCAACGCTCGACGAACTCGAACTATTAATTACAATTTTAATGACAGACACGTTATCAGCGGTGAAAAAAACTTCGTGAGGAACCTACATATCAGAATAATAATAAAAATTGAGGTTATTGTGGAGGACTGAGCAACTGTAAGAAATATTTAAAGGCTATAACTTCATTACTAAAGCTGTCATTTAAAATATCATCGCTATAAACAGATACCTACTTATTGCTTGCAATAAGTAATCACTAGGCAGTTATGTAACCAACGTATTGGGAGGAGAACAAATTTTCCAGTACGATAAAAATTATTGAAAACACACAAACGCAATTGAAAGCTAGTGTCCTAAAAGTACGTGGAATACTTACCACGATGAGGTCAGGATAAACTTTCAAGCCACTCTTAATTGGCTACATGAGTATGCATGCTTAAGGACATATAGTCTCGGTATGTTTTAGCAAATTTTTTTCCTCCTATTAAAATCAATTCCTGCTATTAAAATCAATAGGTGGAATTTGGAGCTTACATTTGAAATTAGCGGTAATTTTCAGGGATGGACTGTAGGGTCAACCGTATTTTTTTGTTATTCTTGTATGTGTACTTCTTCAACATTTTTAAATCTACCGCCATATATGGGCCTTTCAATGAATGATACACCTGACATGCATTTATTGTAAGAGAGAGTTTATTTTTGCGTTCTGTATATCCACATATAGAGATGCTTACATATAGAGCTAGGCTATTTATGTTACCATGTTATTTATGCAAGATTTATATTAAGGCTTGAGACAGGAAGCAGAGTCGACATCTGGTAATAAGTACAAAACGAGAGGCCCCGTCTCCATCACCATATTCTTTACGGGCAGATGACGAAACAAAAGCTATCGGTATGAAAGTTACCAATCAGAAGAACATTATTTTTATAATATACGTGACACACGAACTAACTGATCACTACAAAACAAACTTCAAATCTATTATGCTAAAGGTGCGCCGTTTTCCAGGAGAATTACGATATAATGCATGAAAATGCATTATAATTACCGAGGACTAAGATGGAATGCGTCGTTTCCAGTATAAATGGTTCCGGTTCTCAACACTAATCATACAAAACACAGCAGTATTATGCCGTTATTTTACGCTGGTATTCTGTGAGCGTGGTCTTTTTCATTCGATTTACAACCATAATATAGTTGAAGCTTGGCTCTACCACGTATAAAAGATAGAGGGATGGATATGCATGCGCGTGTGACACGAGCTTGTTGCGCGTGTAACTGTGCGTGCATGTGCGTGTATATGTGTATGTTTGTGTGCATGCATGTGTTCCCTTTCCCCTCCCTCCGTACCTGTATCTCAGTGCCCTCCGGCAGGCGGGTGACCTGCGCATGCGACGGGCGCACCACCATGTTTAACAGCTCCTGCGCCAGCTTCACTGTGTGCGGGTGTGTGTATGTGTGTGTGTGTGTGTGTGTGTGTGTGTGTGTGTGTGTGTGTGTGTGTGTGTGTGTGTGTGTGTGTGTGTGTGTACGCTGTACGCGGTACCTGTGTCTCGGTGCCCTCTTGCAGGCGAGTGACCCGCGCGTACGGCGGACGCGCCACCAGGTTGAACAGCTACTGCGCCAGCTTCACTGTGTGCGGGTGTGTGTGAGTATGTGAGTGTACGCGGTACCTGTCTCTCGGTGCCCTCCTGCAGGCGAGTGACGAGTGCGTGCGGCGGGCGCGCCACCATGTTGAACAGCTCCTGCGCCAGCTTCACTGTATGCGTGTGTGTGTATGTGTGTGTGTACGCGGTACCTGTGTCTCAGTGCCCTCCTGCAGGCGAGTGACAAGCGCGTGAAGCGGGCGCGCCACCATGTTTAACAGCTCCTGCGCCAGCTTCACTGTGTGCGTATGTGTGTATGTGTGTGTGTACGCGGTACCTGTGTCTCGGTGCCCTCCTGCAGGCGAGTGACGAGTGCGTGCGGCGGGCGCGCCACCATGTTGAACAGCTCCAGCGCCAGCTTCACTGTGTGCGTGTGTGTGTGTGTATGTGTGTGTGCACGCGGTACCTGTGTCTCAGTGCCCTCCTGCAGGCGAGTGACAAGCGCGTGAGGCGGGCGCGCCACCATGTTGAACAGCTCCAGCGCCAGCTTCACTGTGTGCGTGTGTGTGTGTGTGTGTGTGTGTGTGTGTGTGTGTGTGTGTGTGTGTGTGTGTGTGTGTGTGTGTGACGCGGTACCTGTGTCTCAGTGCCCTCCTGCAGGCGAGTGACAAGCGCGTGAGGCGGGCGCGCCACCATGTTGAACAGCTCCAGCGCCAGCTTCACTGTGTGCGTGTGTGTGTGTGTGTGTGTGTGTGTGTACGCGGTACCTGTGTCTCGGTGCCCTCCTGCAGGCGAGTGACAAGCGCGTGAGGCGGGCGCGCCACCATGTTGAACAGCTCCTGCGCCAGCTTCACCGCCGCCGCGCGTACCAGCCGAGACGATTTTTTGCCAAACCTGACAATTACATTTTTTTATTTTATTTATCCAGTACCTTCTGCACACAGTACTTTTATAATCCCGTAGTTAGAAATGTATATTTGATATCTGTTTAGCAGTTTATGAGTCGCAATCATTCAAAGTGCACTAGGCGGTAGGACTCCTTTTTTACCCAGGAGTCTGCCTGGGTCGGTACCAGCCTCTTACTCTTACCTATTTGTTTATTATAGCAGTGTGTGTATTGCTTTGTTGTCTGAAAGGTTTAGGGAACCAGTAAAATTACAAGCTATGAGACAGGCAATTGATCTTTGAAATTGGCTATAGGTGTCCATGAAATAAAGTAGCCATTTTACTACCAGGTAGACTGTAAAATCATATGTCACTTTAAATTTAGTATCCGGATGACCGAGCTTTGCTCGAGCTATTACGATCATTAACAGAGTGTCAAAATTTACCTCCTTATATTGTAGCAGTTTTTCATTGCCTGAAAACACGGATCAAGACATTTTCTAAAATTAAATCCTAGCTAGATCGATTTATTGCCCCCGAAACTCCCTGGACACTAAATTTTATGAAAATCGTTGGAGCCGTTTCCGAGATTGCGATTATATATATATAAGAATTGCTCGTTTAAAGGTATAGGATAAACATCCTCACAAACTTTCACATTCATATTAGTATAAGTTTACCCTTTTTCAACAGACTTCAAAACGAAGAAGGTTCTCAATTCGACTGTTTTTTATATTACCTCAAAACAATTTTGTTAGTGAACCAAATTTTGATGATACTTTTTTTGAGAAAAATTTGAAAAGTGGTGGAAAAAAATTTAAATAAATTACAATAAAATCTCTACATGCCCTTATCTGGGCAACCCCCCCCCCCCGATTAAACTCATTTATATGAATATTTTATAAGTCGAAATTTAATATTAGAAATCTAGTTCCATTTCGGATGCCGAATGGCTTTCTTCATTCTATACTGTACACTTCGATCAACATCGTATTTAAAAAAATTATCGCATGTTAAAATTTTAAAATCTTAAATGTCATTTTTATCTATTTTAAATATTATAAATAATAACTATAACACATTCTGCTCGTGTATTAATCTTATTTCGATTATTTGTAATATAAAAAATTATTATTTTATTATCACGCAACAATAGCACTGAATGACTAAAATTAATGTCGAAATTTCCTGTGCCGTACAACCCATCCTCCTATATCGAACTATATTACTAACGTATAGAAGAGACATACCGAACAAAAAGTTTGCTTCAGTTTGGTAAGAGTTAGAGTTAAGGTTCGCTGCAGCGCTAAAATAATTGTTACGTCGTCTAACCAAACTATTAAAACATGCAGCGCTAGTTTGCATTAGGAATTAGTTTTCTCGCGACCAACGACATAAGCGCCAGGGATTTCATGGCGCTTACGCGTGTCGTTCAACGTAGTGTTGTACAACAAGTCGCTTCTATAGATATTACAACGCAGAAGTGACACAACTTTTGTACCTAATACAAAATAATACTCTGCCTTGTCATTAAATTAACAAAAGAAGTGAAATAAAAGTCTCGTTGCAATTTAATATACTGCAATTTATTACACATTCTTAATAATTCAACACAAATTAATACTTAATTGCCTTTAAACAATATAAGTTTAGTTAGTTTTTAGCGTTTGCTCGTACAATCATTTGTTATATTTGCCTCGTGGTGCAATCGAACAGTTGTATATTTGTTTATTATTATTGCACGTATTAGATGCACTCACATTCTTTCGTGAGTTGACTGTGTTCTATTGTAATAGGGAATGCAATAAACAATAAATGAATAGATAAACGTTGAGATGGCAATGGCACGCACCAGACGAAGACGTCGAGGTGCGCGTCGAGGATGTAGACGTTGCGCGTGGCGAGCACCTCCCGGGCCAGCGGCGCGGCGTCGGGCTGCGGCAGCTCCAGGTAGCCCATGCCCAGCTCCACGCGGTACAGCCGCGGCGCCGCCCAGCTGTACGGCTCCGCCACGTGCTCCTGCCCACACACACACACACCACTTACATTACATCACCACTCGTTTCAACCCTAAGCCGTCCATCAATGTGCCAAGACATGCATTTTTAAAGTTTATCTGTGAACGAAGGGCCGTTATACAAAAAATGATATGCTATTTTCCACCGATAAGTAGTCAGTTATTTGAGTTTAGGAATTTTAGATGTATTTTCCGTTATCTGTCGTTCGCCGTAGATTCGACAGTTATTGAGAACATTCACGTCTTTTTATGTCACTAGGTGACATTTAATAATGAGGTAAAATATTTCAAAGGAAGTAAATATGTAAGGAAAATCTAAAGGTTAATATTTTTTTTCTCTAAAATTTTAGTTATAGTTTTTATTATAATCATCAGCATCATCATTACAGCCCTTTATTTACAAGTCCACTGCTGAAAATAGGCCTCCCCCAAGTAATGCAATTGGATAGATTTCGTGTCACAAAGCACGGTCCTGAGCCACCTGCATCCATCAACTTCCTGCATGCTTTACCAGGTCGTCACTCTATCTAGTGGGGGGGGGGGGGTCACCCTACACTACGCCTACCGATACGAGGCTGCCACTTCAGAACCTTTTTCCCCATCGGTTATTGGTCCTTTGAGCGCTATGGCCAGCCCATTACCACTTCAGCTTACTAGTCCGTTGTGCTATTACGGTTACTGGTTATATTGCGGATACCCTTATTTCTAAATGTATCATGCAGACCAACCCCGAACATGAGCTTCTTCATACGACCAGCAGTGAAGGACCACGTCTCAGATCCATAGGTCATCACTAGCAACACGCACTGGTTGCACAATCTTGTTTTCAGGTTATTAGGTATTCCCGACAAAATGATGTGTTGTAATTTACCGAACGCTGCCCGGCCGAGTTGAATCTGTCCGTTGACCTCTCGGTCGAAGTTGGACTTACCTAGTCAGACTATTTGTCCCAGGTAAACATACGCGTCAACAACTTTACGCTTAGTGCTCCCCACGACTACTGGTAAAGGGTTACATGGAATTTACACATGATCTTTGTCCATGTTCATCTCAAGACCTATCCGTTGGTAGGTACTACTGAGGTCATTGAGCATAGTGCTTAGGTCCTGCAGCGGTTCTACCATAAATCCATAAGGACTATCGTCGGCAAATCGCAGGTGAGTGACGTACTCGCCATTCGTGTTAATACCGTATCCTTTGCAACAGCTTGAAAACGTCTTCCAAGACAACGGTGAAGAGTTTCGGGGATATAACGTCACCATCACCGTCACCTCTATGCAATTGGATAGATTTCGTGCTCTGGTTCTGTACTCGGATAGCCATCGTAGCCCTACGTAGTTTTTATTTATTACAATAGAAATGGATAAACCAAACCACGAATATTCACAGAAGAAGATTTTTTTAAAGAAATGAGGAAACTATTGAAGTATGGTTTTTGTCAATTTACATTCTTTAGATTCTTTACATTTACATTTACATACCAAGTAACATTTATTTGAAACGCAACTTCTCAATTGTGTAACAATATAACAAAATAACTTCACTTATTGCAAGGTAGGATACCTTGCAACATCTGGTGGTCGAAAACTTATTACCTTACCCTCAACAACACAGTACACCGCGCGCAAGTGAGTAGCAATTGAACAAAATGTTAATTTACAGAATCAGGCGTTACTTTGTGAAAATCCATTATATTAAAGTTGGTAAGAATTACTTCGCCCATATCCGCTCAATGAAACAAAATAATGTGTCTTACATAGTTTGAAGAGCACCTCCTGCCCTCCCTCAATTGCGCGGACTATCCTCGTCACCACTAATCCCAGCTCCACTACTTCCAACACCACTACACAAGGAAAGACACACCATCGACCAAACTAGGTAAGAAATTTTATTTTATTGAGCGGATTTGGGCGAAGGCATTCTTACCAACTTTAATGCAAATGTTAATATTATACATATACAGTCATTTTTCATTTACTAAAGACCTTTTGGGAATATAATGGTGGCATAATTACAAACGATTTTAGCGAGATCACTCTTTACAGAATGTAATACATTTACATAAAAGCTACTTTTAAGTTTTTATTGTCATGTCTGACTCCTTTTAAGTCTGTATTTTAAAAATCACAAATATTAAAATGAGCAATAGGTAATTATAAAGTATGACCTCTTTGACGCGCCGCCGCGCCGGTCGACGCTCGCGCTGAGCTGATTGTGTCGCGAGTGCCTACTGCCCACAGAGTACTTTTTTATACTGCCTACTAAACTATGCACCACTGTGCCTACGGTACCAGTGCGCCACTCCAAATGACAAATTTACATTAACTTTTCATATACTCCTTTTTTGCATAAAGCAATTTGATTATTTTTACGAATTTATAGACATTTTTTAATAAACATTTAGGTAGTTTGTTACGATCACTGCTTGCCAGTAATGCTGCCTTCGGATGGCAACGCCTCAACGTCGCACGTACGGCAGACCAAGGCCAAGCCAAAGGTTCGCAGCACGTGCAAATTAAATGTCTAGTATTATTAGCTATTTTTTATTTATTAAATGGAAGTTGTATTTAAAAATGGATACGGGTTAAAATAACTACAAATATTACAATAAAATATTTATAATGATTAAATACAGATATTAACACACATTTTACAACAGTAATTGAATAAAAATATTTAGGTAAAAAGGGTTCAATAAATATATTAAAATACAAATTTATACATTAGAATTAGAGGTACTCGTCCGAGGATGGTGGTGAGTATCGCGCACATAGCGTTCAAAATAATCACCTCCACATTCTATGCATAAGTGACACCTAAAAGTTAACTGTACACCGACACGAGATAAAAGTTGAGTATTCATTTCGATTTGATCGAATGCCCAAATTATTTTTTCTTTCAGCATGTCGCGGGTTTCGAGTGTGCGACCAGTATACACTAATGCCTTTACATGCCCCCGCAAATGAAAATCCATTGGTGTGAAATCTGGCGATCTGGGAGGCCATGCACAAGGCCCGCCACGTCCGATCCAGCGTCCAGGGTATTCTCTGTTTAAATAATCGTTAACTTGACGAGCATAATGCGCCGGTGCCCCGTCAAGTTGATAATAAATATTGCGTAGAGATGCAAGTGGTATATCCTCTAACAATTCTGGCAGCGTGTCGGTGAGAAAATTGTGATAGCTTTCACCATTTAATCTTTCTATGAAAACAGGGCCCAGTAACGTTGTATTAATAAGGCCTGCCCACACATTGACACTAAACCGGTGTTGAAAGCTATGTGGTTTTGGTTCATGTGGATTTTCATAGCACCACAAGTGTTTATTGTGCGTATTAAATACCCCCATTCTGCTAAATGTTGCTTCATCAGTCCATAAAATGTTAGCTCGTTCAGCAGCTAGTAACCAATTACAAAATGTAACTCGCACAGGTTTGTCAGCTTCGCTGAGTTCATGAACACGGTGCAGGTGAAAGGGGTACTTCTCTTCATACGACACTCCATGCGTAATATTGTGACACATTGAACTGTCGGGCTGCTTCATAAGTGCTCGCTGCTGGATTTTCTTCAAAAAACTGCAGTATGTCTTCCTGCTCACGTACTGTGCGCCGCGGTGGACGACCACGATCGATAGATACAGGCTGGATTTGCCCGTAATCTCGCAATCGCTGTGTAGCGCCTAGCATCGTAGCGTAGCTCGGGGCACGTGAGTTGGCTAGGCGGCAGGCTTCACTAACATTATCATTTCAAATTGCTAAAATTCGCACCATTTCGGTATACTCAACATTTGAGTATCGGTAAGCCATCGTAACAAGGTAACGTTCACAATAATCTCACAACGAAAAGACATGCGTCGCGGGCGCATCAAAGGCGACTGACGACACAGGTTACTAATTAGGTCAAGTTTAAATGAGTATCGTCGCCTCCTACACCCCTCCCTCGCCACGCGCTTTTTATTGCTAACTAGGACTATTACCGTTTAGAAGCTCCAATTAAAATATTTTTATTTTTGTATGAAAATAAAAATTGAAAAAATATATTTTTTTTCTTACAGATTTTGTTATGGTATAAATAATATATTCCCTAAAGGTCATCTGTAAATTAAAAATGACCCTGTATATATATGACTTGCACTGTGGTGGCGGCGTAAAAGAATCCATCACTCCAGTTCATCCCTTAAGTGACGTAAGAGGGGATTCTGGAAATGCCCAAAATACTTAAAACTTTCCGATAAACGGCGGTATAACTATATCGTTATAAGTCAAAGGTAAAATACCTAGACCAGCGACGGATATCACCCTAAAAAGTTCGAAACGACTGGCACTGCGATCGTCAATCAGTGCCAAGCGGTTCGATTCTATATCTTATAATGGGAGAGGACCATGTCTACCAGTAAATTAGAAGTCCTACGAGCCGAGAAAGAACAAAAGATTAAATAACGATATGTTTCTACTAACTTAACAGTATATGCGGCGTACAAACTTCTTTATTTGGTGAAGTAAATTTTAATTCCGACGGAAAGATTTCCGTGAGGCTAATTTCAGCCACCGATCCAAATATTAATAATTAAATAAAAAGGTGAGTTAAGTAAATTCTTAGCAGTTACGCTGGCGATTGGAAATATAAATGACTAACCGACAAGAAGCGCGCCATACAAGCTTTAAACGCAAGCGTGATCTGACTCGAATGTGATTGGTTGGGCCCATAAAATACTATAATACATACATAATAGAACGAGGGTGTGGGCGGAGCCCGCGTAGCCACTAAAATGCCACTAAGAAGTCAATTCACACGTATAAATGTCAACACGAAATATGTTTTGACGTTACAATACGCTATTTACAAATAAATATGTATTAAAATCCGTTTGTCAACACAGCGAATCGGATTTGTAGTAGTGATTAACTGATAATATGACGTAATTGCTTGTATGTGTGCTTCCGGCGATGCCGAAACTCGGTATAAAATAAGGTTGACAGCCATTCATATTGTGTATTATAGTATTCTATGGTCGGACGTGTGTCTTCCGCTAACCATCCGATAAAACATGTAATCCTCAAAAATAGATGTCGGATAAACGTGGACAAATTCATATAAAATGTTCTACCCCTAGGTCTTCCGTCTTTTTCTAAGTGCAACATCCGACAAGAGGAAACGATTTGTAAGACATAACAAACTATGTAATGAGATAAAATGTAATTGTATAAAAAGATCTAGCCGTATATAAACGTTCTCACACATACGTATAAGGGTTTTAATTATTTTTCTCTGAAACGAAACATTACTAAAAAGTAAAAATGCAACAAAGGAAAATTTTGCGATGAAGTAAACCATATATTTTTTACCTTTGGCACGAAGGGCTCCTCACCCTCGTAGCCCAGTGTCTTCCAGAAACTACGGGGCTCCTTACCCGGCGGCTCGGTAATCAGTTCCGCTTTGTTCTTGCGCTCCTCTTTGTTTATCTTCTCCGCAAAGAGGCGGGCTTTTGACTTCAGCGTATTTTTCGCTTTTTTGCCAATCCTGAATGTAAACGTAAGTTGATTTATAATAATTCAGCATCTTATATTCTAACAACTGCGTAGTACATATGTGCTTCTTCACCAGCCAGTAAAAGTGCACTTTCAGACATTAAGCGTTAAGCGTAAAAAAGTAGGTTATACCGTCATCTACCAGACGCCATAAGACCTTTCTGGCTTAACTATAGTCGCATCTCACGACACCTATAGGAAGAAATGCGATGATGGATTGCGATTATGCGTAGGATATACTAATCAAATCCAATATTTGGATGAATTAGTTTTTGATTAGATGAAATAGGTTTAAAGGTCATGAGTTACGGTGTTTCATAGGACTGGTAGCTAACTTAAAATTTTGCGTCTGTTCTACACAAGAACATTTTCTAGTTCGAAGCAATTTTACGTGCTGATTTACGCTCAAATCCAGAAGTATACTGTGGCTGATGAAGAAGAATAAGAAGAAGAAGTGTATAGTGACATGTAGTCATTATAACAATCGGAATTCATCTAGAGCTAAAAATTAACACATGTACTTCATTTATTCATAAAACTGTAAGTCTACTGTTGAACATAGGCTACCCTAGAGAATACCTTATAAGGGAAATAATTGCCAAAGTTGCCACGCTTGGTAGGCGAGTTGACAACCAGTTTTTTTAAACTTATTATTAAGAAAACGCTGTTGCCCGTCTATAGATTTGTTTTTCATCAGTTGCTTATTACAACACCCGCCAGACGATAAGGGAGAGTGGATATTCATTCCTACACCGCCACTACACGTACTTGTACGTCATGTATTTCATTTTTTATAGGATAGGGTGACGACAAACGAGCACAGTCCACCTGATGATAAGTGGTTGCTGTGGCCCATAGACTTTTACATCTATCCTTGATTAAGAATCAAAATACAGATGCGTTGTCACCTGTACTTGACTAAGGAATCCCAGTAAAACGGATTTCCGGTTCTCTACACTCACCATACGAAACACAGCAGCACTAAGCTACTATTTTACGCTGGTATTCTGTGTGATCGTGGTCCTTCCCCGATCGAGCCGACCTATTCGTGCTTCAACTATACTGCTAATATAACTGCAACTTGGCTCTACCACGTACTCTTCTTACTTGTTTTACTTTTATTATTTATTTGTCCTGACCAAGTGACAACAATGACATTTAATTATCAAAAATCGTCCTCAAATACGATTCGATCTTAGCAATTTGCAAACATTTTAAAGAGACGTTTACAGGGATGCAAGGTCCCTTACCAAAATACTGACCAGAGATAAATAGTGAGGCCGGTGTCGAGTATGAAGACGTAGCGCGGATCCAGCGACTCAGCGCTCACCGGCACCGGCTCCAAGTGGATGCTGCTGCCTGCGCCGTGCACTCGATACAAACGCGTCACGTAATGCTATAATGAAGAAAACATGCATGATAAGCTTGAATATCACACAATTACAGAATACCTTTATAGTGATTCCAAATGCGTGCGACCCCTATGACAAATCTAGAGAACTGGCATGAAATTGTATGTTCGATGAAATGAGTGTTAACATAGTACACAAGTAACTGAGTAAAAACAAATTTTAAGAAATAATACTATTTTTTACGGAATTTATCGCGTATATTTAACTTTTTAATACCCGACGTTTCGAGAGCTTTACAGCACCCATGGTCACGGGAAGGACTGAGATGTTCAACGTCCAGATGTCATAGTTAACCGCGGTTACCATAGATTAAAATTTAACTTTTGTTCCGATCTACACAGTATGAACTTATGGTATCATGAAGTCATGAAAAATTCCGTAAAAAATAGTATTATTTCAATGTGTAGTGTTCGCGTAAATATAAGAAATCATTAAATTTTAAGAAATTTCGTGAGATAAATTTATTCCCAATATTTAGAGTACGTTGCAGCATCGATGGTCATGGGTGCATTGAGGTGATTAACGACCTGATGTCATAGTTAATCTGGTCAGCTTTTTAATAATTAAGTGTAAGTGTAAAATTAGTTTAACTCAATATCCTCTCGGCTGTCCAAAACCTTTTTTGTGCCTGTTTCGGGTCATCTTAAGTGGCCCACATTATTGTCGAGCTTGTGGTGTTAAAAAATGTACACAGAGTTGTGTTTTTTTTATTAATTATTGTAGTGTATTAATCTAATTGTAAATAAAATAAATATTTATTGAAGTAATTGCTTTTTTTAATTTTTTATTCACCAAACTAGAAAAAAATCGCTTTTAGCATTTTTACCATGGAAATTAGAAAATATAAAAAAGGTGAATGTATACATTTACACGTATTCTATTAGCTTACTTAACAATAATTCTAACAACATATTATTTTATCGAGTTTCCATTCATAATTATTAAGATATTGCCATTTTAATGACACGCGCCACGTAGGCAATAAATTGCTCGTTTAGGGTTGGACAGTATGCGCCAAAGCGGCCATTTGGGCCGGGACAGTTAGGCTTACTATTTGCTTAAGCGATCTTATCACATCTGTGGCGGAACTGTCGTCGCGCCACAAGCGAATCGCACCGAAGCCTAAATAGCGCTAATAAAGTTCCGAAATAATACGCTATAGATAGTTGGCCGGTCTACGATCTCTGAACACCTTGCCCAGTGGGAGATCTCCCCTTTTCATTTCACGGCCAAACATTGTTTGTTGATATATTGTGATCTCGGGTTCACAGAAGAAATTTTCCAAATCCTAATTGTAACGACCCTGAGTTACCCCGACAAAGGTCGATTGAGCTAGGGCCCACAGTAACCCAATTCGACGGGTAACAGAGGGGAGGGTCCAATGACCTATGGATAATTAAATTATAACGGCTAGATACGCAAACACAAAACTTACCGAATTCCAGAAGTGTAGGGTCTACCACAAGGTGGCATCAGGGGGCACGTAAATGGTAGTGGGCACAGAACACGGAATAAGACATTAGAACGGCTCCAATGCACTTTTTGTACGAGAACCTGTGTCGGCAGTAGGCGGAACCCTGTTGTCATTACTACATTTGCAAATATAAGCACACGCTCACACATGCATTAAAGACGCCAATCAAATGTGTAAAAGAGCCAATCAAATAACAGGCAAAATCGAGCGAACTAATCCGGCGCGTGCTCATTCACACATGCACACATACATGTAGTGAAGGCGTAAAGACGCGTAAACAACTAGTGAGGTGAAGTGGCGATTGACAATTTTTTATCGATATCGATAAAAACTACAAGTTGAGTGTTCGTGTTATGTAGGAATGGATGAAGGGAATGGATACAGTTTGTAGTAAGTTATAAATAAAATAAATAAATTACTGTATTAAAATTAATGTTGTAATTATGAAGCAATTTAGATCAAATTTAGTACACAGATAAATTAGATCTTGGGGAAGGACTTTATTTGGTTGACAAATTTTGTTGAGAGCTCTAAAATACAAAGGGTTAAAAATCAGACATAAAATAATTCGATGTGATGAATAAGCAAAGTAATGCTAAAAAATTTATTTTAAAAGAGAAAGTTATTTTTATTGCCTCTGAAATATAATATATTTGTTTAATAGTTGCCGCTTAGTTTCTTTTTGTGTCATAGAGTTTTTCAGAAAGAAGTGAAGTCGAATATTTAGGTATTTCTCTATAACAGCTTTAGTTAAATCGGTTATGTGGTTAGAAAACGGAAATTGTCCCATGTCATGAAATCTGATTGTGTCAAACAAAGAGCTCTCAAAGAAATTTGTCAATACTTTAACTTCGATTGATTTTTTATTTATGTTTATTGATTTTACCACAATATGTTGCCATACAACAAGTTCCGTAAATTTACAAATTTTTATTATGCCACTCGAAGGATAGATAACTTTACCTTTGTCTTTTTTTAAATTAATTTGTGGCAAGAGTCAGTTTGACTGCATAAAAGAGCTCCGATACATATGTCGCATTTTATTTTATTTATGAGGGAATGAACAACGTTGCCATCAACCAAACCTTAACAAGGTTTGGTTGATGGCCGCGCGAAATAAAAAAGACGCCACTTTCCGGCATTCTCTTTTACCTAAGAATCCGAATCTGTAAAGATATCGATAAAATGCTTAGCGTAATGATCAATGCCATTAATAATTATTTTTATAAGAAAAAAAAATGAAGATTACTACCCAAAAGAAATTGAAACTTATCGATAAATTGCTACAGAGTGCGTGTCTCTTCACTAGAATCATGTGTCACCGATACATTGTGTGCTTAAAACGACACTATAAAAATGGTATGCGTACTTTGCCAGCAATGTATTTTTTTTAGAATTTTATTAACATTTTACAGATTTTGACTTAAAAACCGTAAATTTGAGAAGTTTTTTTACTTTCCGATGAAAAGAAATTCCTCCTTTGGCTACACTCGACACTTCACTCCTTGCTTTACAACTAATAACAGCACAAGTAGGCATTTTTCGTCAAAATTAGTCGCCGCGTTTCACTTGCGCACGGTGAGTGTTCGTGAGTGACTTATGAGCGCGAACACGTGTCTCGGGATTTATATGACCGTTCGGGCAAATCAGTGGCATGCGTGCCCCGCCCACAATGCCATTCTATGTTTTTCTGTTTTCTATGGTAGTGGGTGTGTAGTGTAGGAAAGTGTATAGTGTATCCTGACGTCACCGATACAATCAGATAGCAGCACCACGTGCGCCGACCGCTCCACAAGACGCCCACCGCTATCGGAACTCAAGTCCAGCGTCACTTAGCACAAACTATAATCGCGCGCGATCTACACACGGGTCACAAAGTTCAGCGTTCTCCCGACTAAGTCACGCGAAGTCTTATCACGCTATCAAACGACGCACTAACAACTCGTCGTTGCAAATTAATAGCAATCTAAGTTAATACAATAATTCAAAAATCAAAACGCAAAAAAGCCTCGTTGTCACGTATATTAACGACAAAATACAACAACATGGAGGCTGCCGACATGCGACACAAAACTATTATGTAACGCCCGAAGTCTACCCGGCACGGCCGCGCGCCAAGCTTTCTGCCGACTGGGACGCTGGCAGCGTCGTACGCGCACAGCAAGCCCCCCCCCCTTCCCGCGCAACGCTAACCGTTTCCTCACCCCGGGACGCGCCTTGCACGCTTCAAATGCCACACTTCGGCGTAAATACTAATAGATTCTGCGTGCGGTGCCACAGTCACTGCGAAGATTTTAGCACGCACAGAGTCTAGTTTAGGCCCGAGATTGAATTAAACTACTTTTCGGCAAGAAATCATTGGTGTAGAATAAATTATACAATTCATATAATCTTAGCATTTGAGCTAGTCTTTTGTGATTCATTTATTTATTACAGGCTATCAAAGTCCACTGCTGAACATAAACCTCTTTATAGGTGGCTCATAATGCCAGGGATATTTGCCATAGTTGGCAAACTTGGCAACCGAAACTTTTTTATGATTTTTTTGTTATTAGGAAATGCTGCTGCCCATCTCCTGGTTTGTTTATCTCTGCCGCCACTTACAACACCTTGGGTCGATATTGGGAAGTGGATATTTTTACGCCGTCACTACACCGTAGTTTTTTGTGAAGTACACAGACGTTTAAAAATACTGACATAATGTTACATTAAAAATGTGTGAAACATTACAGATCCTAAAATTTTTTTTCAAACCCACACAAATACATCTAGGTATACATGTGTGCGTGTATATCACATGTAATTAAAACATTCTAGTGGTATTCCAGTGGTTGAAATTCGACCGTAATTCATTAAAAATTTTAATAAAGCAATAATAATCGAGCAAGTTGTATTGTATTATGGTACGTTATTTTCAAACGCATATTTATATATAAAATACAGATATTTAATATACAAAACATTAAATAAATACTTTTTTCTCTTGTTGTCTTGACAGGCAATCTATTTAGCCTTCACATATTATAGAAAAAAGAACATTAGAAACACACAAAATTCACAGACTATACGACCATAGACTATTATGTGTTTGACTTGACAGTAGCTTTCTACACTCCTTCTCCATATAAACTTTAACTATGGCAATTGTCACAGTCGTTCGCGCATGAAACATGCTGTGTAGTTGTTTGTATCAATATACAGATAACTGAGCTGCCTTGTATGTAGACGGGCGGCGTGGGGAACAGCGCCATGAAGTCGGGCGTCTCGTCACACTGCTCGTGGCGCTATATATACATTGAGCGCACAGCGCACCCCGGGTGTTGAGATAAGAGAGGAGGGTGGGGGGGTTGTCCCGTGGCTATTTCACACGCACCACCGGGTGTGTGCCTGTGGGGAAGAAGCCGGAGGGCGTGCGGCTGCCTTGTATGTAGACGGGCGGCGTGGGGAACAGCGCCATGAAGTCGGGCGTCTCGTCGCCCTGCTCGTGGCGCATATATATAAACATTGAGCGCACAGCGCACCCACCGGGTCGTCGACGGTGAAGAAGCCGGAGGGCGTGCGGCTGCCTTGTATGTAGACGGGCGGCGTGGGGAACAGCGCCATGAAGTCGGGCGTCTCGTCACCCTGCTCGTGGCGCTGCGTGCGGCGCGCACCCAGCAGGTTGCGCAGGTTCACCGCGTGCATCGCCGCGCACGCGCCCTTGTCCAGCTGAAATACCACGCCTTATTTTTACATTGTTATCACATCATCTAACACTCCTATGTGCGGTGCACACGTTCTATCTGTGTCGGGCTCAAGTACGCTCTCATAGACATTCGCGCGTGTGATCACGGCGGCCTGGCGGGGCGTCGATAGAGATGTGCCGCTTCATATTCACTCCTGAGATCACTTAGGGAAATAGTTTGCTTTGCCTATACTTATATCGATTATAGAATAAATTGAAAGTTATGTATATTATGAAAATATATTCATGTATTTCAATAAAATTCAAATGAAAAAATGGTAGATATTTTTTAAAGAATTACGATCAAAAGTTTAAACTTATTATACAATATTGGCGGGGTCAACAATTTCTGTAAATAAACCCAAAATAACACATATTTTTATTTTGAATTTTAATAACATCTTTAATGTACATCATTATATTCATTATATTTAAAAAGTAGCACTGCAATTAACTACAAGAAATATAAAATAAAATCGAACCATAATCGATATTAAATATAATCGAGTGTTTTCGTAACTACAACTGCGCATTTTACGTATTCACATCTCTAGTCTTAGTTATCGCTCACATTCCCCTCTGCTTGTTACCATCTTGTTCCTAGAAGCTATATCTGCGCAGCCGCTCACGACTAACATCAGCCCGACCAAGATAGAACGTGCAGACTTTATACTACTAGATCGGCAGTTCAAAACAAAAACTGTGTATTGCGCGGGCGCGGGCGTGTAGCTGGCACGATAAATATGCCACGCAGCTGTTGTATTTTCATTTACGACAGTTACTGTTTCTAGGCAAATACGAAATAATATTTCATACTTATCCGAAATAAACATCAAATCACATTGACACAATGCACACAAAGACAAGACACCCAGAGATTTAAATATATATACTATAGAGCGGACATTGGGAACATTTACCTACAAAAACTGTGAGCTTGCGCATGTGTTACGCCCTCTAGCGAAATATGGCAATACTAAGCTGGATATTTATTAGGAAAACATTTTAGCTATTTCCCATTAGGTGAAGCTACTAAATATAAGGTGAAAATCTGTTTTAGGCACGTCGTCAAGTACTAACACATTGGTAAATAAATAGTGAAGTTACTGGATAACAGAGGGCGTTTATTTCAATAATTAATAAATGTTCTAGAACAATCTACTAGAAATAATAAAATTTAAAGGTTATTTGGTAAATATACATTATTCTTACGATAGTTAATCACGTTCATTTTTTTCTCCATATTGTGACTCAATACTTTAAACACAGCCGGGTATATTTTCTTTAAAAATAATTTTTAAATTTATGAAGACGCATTGTCTTGACCTTTTGACGATGTCATTAAAACGAAATGACAAAAATCGGAAATATATCCTATAGGACAAAAGTTACAGAAGACTACTACTTAAATGTCTTTGATGACAGCGTTTTTTAGTCACATTAAACAAAATCAGATAGTTGTTAAATTGGTTCAAAACAAAAAACTAGTATTCTCACCCGCTCGCAATCGACTAACGAAGTTACGAAAAATTGACCGTAATGCCCGTCTAGCAGTATACATAGAAGTTTTTGTATATCAATTATTTTTACACTACAATCATAGCGTTCTCCTCCGTCATCAGCACGTAAAAGTCCTTGACAAGGACATGGCCAACTTCCGTTTGCGGAAGATTTGCCTTATCCGTCTAGTGACATTTTTAAAAATAAGGGTGACAAACGAACACACAGTCCATCCGATGTAAAGTGGATGCCCATGAACATTAATCCTCAATTAAGAATAAAAATAAAGATGCGTTGTCATCCCTGAGGATGGAATGCCTCATTTCCAGTAATTGGATGTTCCTAAAAACATAAGTGTAGTGTTGTGTTGGTAAAAGTATCTTTAGAAACACTTCTGTTGTTGGGAGGATTTGCCATACTCTTACGCCACCATCACAGGGCAAATTTTAGAATGTAGGCCTCAGATGAAGTAAAAAAAAGGTAGATATCGCACCTAGAATAGAAACTGTAACTAGTTTTATAACTTTGTGTGAGTCAGAGAAGTGTTGCCACTTTTTTTTAAATCCCTGAAAATTGAGATAAAATACTACAAATATAAGAGTAATGTGCGATGCGACGCAGGTGTATCTGTATGTTTTAATAAATTTCAACAATTTGACCATTCAAAAAAAGATGATGAACGTAGGAGGCGTCTGTAGATCATTTAAGCCTTCTTGATAGATTGTCCAGTGAGCATGTAAGCATCGATAAAATATACAACATATTATGTAATGTAAAACATGTTTATTATAAAAATAACAATACTAAAAAAATCGTAAAAAATTAGTTGAAATAAAAATAAATTTCCATGGAATTAAAAATATACTTTTCTAAATGAAAAAAAGTATATTTAAGTAAATTCAAAATAGAACAAACTCCAGCCCGGGGGTAGTTGGTATTTCACTTTGTCGTGTACTGGTAGTATTGTGGAATGTTGAAAAAGACCATAAGGATCTTTTTTATATTTTTCTTTGAATTTGACAGAGGTATATTTTTTCAAGGTGGGTTTTATATGTGCGTCCATAACTGCATAACCCATACGAAACTATTGATTCGCCGAGTGCTTTATATAGTAACAGTAGCATCTAGTAAGGTACTTTACTCTTGATGAGGTAAAATTTTACTAGGATTGCTCGTAGCTTATCACATACAGATTCAATGTGATTAGTCAATGTCATCGATTATTAAACCTAAATACTTACATTTTTCTACCACTTCAATTTGGGGACATTCACAGTTGTTATTTTGGGTTGAACTTTGTATATTATAAAGACATGTATGATTATGAGCTAAAAGAGTAATGTTATGTTTTAATCTATTTTGACTCGAGACATTATTTTAATTTTATTACAAGACATGCATCATGTGACCACTACATGAGTCTCGTAAAGTCTTCCTGTAACAGATTTACCGCCTTATCCATAATTTCGCCAAATTGTGGTGTGCTACTACCATGCAGGTATGGTCAATCAATTGAAAAATTTTAGAGCTTTTAATCACTTAGTTGATATTATTCACGTAAGTGATGTAGTGTAGCGGTCCTAATACAGAACCCTGTGCTTTTCCTTCACTCACCATACGGCATCCACTATCTTGACATAGTAAGAACGATTTTTGTGATAGTCCCTACACCAGTCATGCATCGGCCCTCTAATTCCACAGTCATCTTGTAGCTCTAGCAATACATCATGACGTAAAGTATCGAACTCCCTGCTATAGACGATAAATAACAGCAATACATGTTTTCTCTCATTAAAATTTTCATATACGTTATCCGTAAATAGTGAAAGTAGTTACGTTGTGCTTTTTTTAGGTTGAAACCCAAACTGGGTTAAACTATAGACGTCCGGTACTCGCGTACGGTGTTGGGAGGGGGAGGGGGAGGTGAGGGGTCATGGGAAGCCCTACCCCTACTCTTCCCTCGTTGCGGAAATCTATAGTTTAAGAGTAATATTTTTTTTGTAAAATTAAAACCTCACTTTTTTATACAGGAATATTGACACAAAATTACTTATGCAACGGTGGTACGGTGATGGGAGAGTGAGAGGGGAGGGGGGGGGAACATGGGAAGCTCCCACTACCCTTCCCTCGTTGCGAAAATGTATAGTTTATGAGTAATCATTTTTTTTGTAAAATCATAACCTCACTTTTTTATACAGGAATATTAACGCAAAGTTATTTCTGCAACGGCTTCGGCACTGCGGGAAGTGCAGCCCCTTCGCCCTTACGTAGCAAATCACAGGCACCCATGCTCACCTCCGCAGCTTCGGCTTATTGGTCGCCTTCGGCGGCCAGCCTCAGCCGCTACGGCTCACTTAGGTGCCTGCGATTTGCTACAGCGGGCGGGGGCTGTTCTCCCTCCGTGCCTACGGCTTTACAAAAATACTCTAGGGGTAGGGCAGACAACACTACGTGGAGTCGGGGTGCGCTAATTCGGTTTTAGAACCGATTCGACCAATCTTTTCTATAAAGTCTGGTTGCCCAAAACTCTGCTATGATAGTGATAAATTAAATAATGTGGTGTGAATTGTTATAATTTTGTTTTCTGAAAAACTTCTTGCTTTTTTTCTGAAACACTGCGACTCAATTTGTTGTATATAAGTCCCGTCTACAGCCACAAATGGATTGTCTGGGTCCGAGTGATTAACTTTTTTATAAGTGTATCTGTGTTAAAAAAACAAATTGACATATTTTCGTCTCGTTATTGCAATTTTTAGTGAAATTTATTTTTATCGTAATTAATTCAAAGGGCATTTCCGAAATCCAAAAACAGTGTAAATGGTTCAAGCTTAACCCTGAAAATCCTCTTAAATTGAAAACAAAATTAAAAAATTAAGTACCAGACATCTACTTCATAATACGAGAACAAATTGACATTTTTGCGTTTTGTTATTACACAATTTTTAGTGAAATTTGTTTTTATCGTAATTAATTCAAAACGCATTTCCGACATCTAAAAACATAAAAATGTGTAATAGGTTCAAGCTTAACCCTAACAAGCTTGCTAGACTAAAAACATTATCAAAATCAAGTACCGGATGTCCATATAGCCAACCCTAATTTTATCTATTGTAGGCAATATTTATAGGACGGTAATTATCGTGATACTGTTTGCTTCCCCTTTTGTATATAGGTCTCACGATTCCAGTTTTCAATTCGTCAGGATATTTATTAGTCTTTATGCAGACATTAACCAGTTTTGCAAAAGCCGGAGCAATTTCATCGCAAATTAGTTTTATATCTATCGCCCGAATTTTGTCAAGACTCGCTTTAACAAGTTTTGTTAACGTTGTTTTTATAATTTTAAGGATCTCTTTAGGTGTCGCTTTTTGAAAATTCATTGTTACGTTAACTGCTTTAGATAACTTGCAATTTATATTGCATAACAATTACTCAATTCTGTTAATACATCCATTAGGAAAATAAGTGTAGTTATAAGGTTAATAGTGCATCAATTACTTCGGTTAGAAAGAAGTGGACCACTTGTACCCCAAAAAAAAAAAAATCTAATAAACTTACTGTAGCCTTAGATCCAATCCAAAAGTGAATATCCCAAGATAGCTGCCCTTGCTCTTCTATTGACGTCTTCAATATAATATAGCAGTCGCCCTCGAAGAACTTACCATGCGCCACCTTTAAGTATTAGTATTAATTTAAAAGTTGGCTATTTATTTATACAAACAGACTAAAATGTATAAATATGGAGAAAAAGCTTGTTTTATTTATGTTTCCTTACAAAAATTTGCCTAATAACATTTGTTTTGGTATATATTTCTGTCCTGTCACAAAATAATAATAATATAAATTATTTGACAGTGTAGATCTGTGTAAGAATATCCACTAATCCATATCGTCTCGTGGGCGTCGTAAGAGACGTCAGAGGAAGTGGGGAGCAGAGTCTTCCTAATAACAGTTAAAAATAAAAATAAAATTACAATTTAAAGTAATAATGTTATTGTTGTAATATTCACACGGTCATAGGAAACTCATTGTAAATCGGATGAATTTAATTTCTATATACGGATATATTTATAAATTATAATTTAAAATAAAAACAATAAATAAAAATTGTTTATTTCGGACAAATTGATTCCATAGGAATTGTTAGTAGAACCATAGGAATTGTTACAGAGATTTTACCAGATGAAATGTTTAAGTGAAATAATTTAACTATTTTGTTTATACAACTATAGTTTTCAATTTGTTTATGTGTATCATGATACATTATAACTGCTAACCTCATCAACAGGTGCTGGTATGAAGTTCTCAATTTCCCAAACTTGTAAGCCCGGCGTCTGTCCCGTGTCCTCGTCGAAAAATTCGGAGTAGTCTAACGGAGGTTTTTCTAAACTCTCATCCCAACGTTTTGGTCTGTTTAAATAAAGAAATAAAATAATCAGTTTTATCATTTATTATAATACATTATTTAAAATTGAAAACATTGTAGTTTCTTAAAACAAAATTAAATTTTCGATCACGCTGGGTAATTTTGGAATGGGGAAAAAGCACTAAACTCGCGTGACCGTTGTTTTCTAATTTATTTTCTCCATTACAGTTATTTTAGCGCTATCAGGAGACTTTTTTCTAAATGTAGGTTACACTATTGTACAAAAAATTAAATAAATAAATTTTAACAATCCATTTCCTTATATTTATTAGACTAGCCACGTAGACTAAAAACATTGGTACTTAAAGTAATCGATTCTTAAGGGATTTCAATCGTTTTATTTAGACTATAGCCAGAATAATTAGAACCTGCGAAATAAATCAAAACACGAAAGCTGTTTAAAGTGTCTACCGTGGTGCAGCATACTTACAACAAGCATTTTAAGCTCACTTAGAGAGGTTGTTAACGAGAGTATTAGGAATATTAAAATAAATTAAATTCTGATAGAATTTTTTTATATTTTGCTTTGAGATCGTGTGGTACATTTGTACAAATTTATAAAAAATATGAAATGTCTGTATAACTCAATATTTTAACCATTATATTAATTGAGAACTAACAATAAAGCATGGTGATCATTACTGACTGCACAGGAGCGGTACCTTCTCACCACTCCAACAGAGCTCGTCAACAACTGAAGCGAAGGCTTTAAACAATAAAAAACAACTGTGATTGTCACGTGATTTACAGTTTAGATACGTCAACCCAATCCATTTTATAGTTTTTTTTAACGTCAACTATTGTAGAATATGATGTTGGCGAACCTGCTGTAGAGAAAATGTGGTAAGCAAATACAAATACAAAATTAAACCCTAACCATTTCTACACAGTCAGTAAGACTGTGGTAAGACAGCAAGCATTGTGTGCGACCTGACTCAAGCGGCTCTCCGTATTGTGGAGAGATGGCGAAGGGAATATGACCTAACCGTTAATCCAAATAAAACGGTTATAGTAATGTTCACACAAAAACGAATGCTGAATAACTATCATCTTCCAAGTCTTTTCAGCACAAAACTCCAACTTTCTTCCGAGGTAAAATACCTAGGTCTTACCTTGGACAGTAAACTTAACTGGAACAAACACATAGAAAACAAAATCAGCAAAGCTAGTTTAACTTTCTGGCAATGCAGAAACATGATTGGCAAACGATGAGGTTTAACGCCAAAAATTATACTGTGGCTGCATAAAACTGTAATTCGGCCCATGATCACATACGGCTCTCTGGTATGGTGGACCAAAATCAATGAATCCACCACTATACAAAAGCTACAGCGTTACCAGAGATTGGCTTGTATGGCTGCCACGGGCTGCATAAGGACTACACAAACAGCAGCTTTGGAGGCTATGCTGGAGCTAACACCGCTTCATCTACATATACAACAAGAAGCAACTTTAGCTGCCATTAGACTCAAGACCCTAAATCTTTTAAGTAAGAGTAGAGTCCCCCATACAGATATAATCGATAGAATTTACTCAAAAATCCCTATCTTACAAGCCAAATATGATAAGATCCCAAAACAATTTGTATTCAATGAGAAGTACAGGATACAATTGAAGGAAACTGACCACCTGGAAGGATTGGGTCCAAGAGAGCTTAAAGTTTTCACGGATGGTTCTAAGACAAATGAAGGTGTAGGGTCTGGGGCTTTCTCTAAAGACTTTAATATCCACATATGCACACCGCTTGGTACCCACAACACAGTCTTCCAGGCTGAATGCATGGGTATCATCCAAGCGGCCATAGCAATAGATGCTAGGAATGTGAAAGACTTCTCCATCAGAATACTGACCGACAGTATGGCGGTACTACAAGCTCTGAGTTGCAATGTGACGAACTCGGGACTGATATACGAGTGCCATTAACGATTGAATGAGGTATGTAAGCACAACAATGTGACTCAGCAATGGATCGAGGGAAACAGTGGATCTAGAGGCAACGATGCAGCAGATAAACTGGGCAGATGGGGATCGGCCATAGCAACTATAGGGCCGGAACCAATAATACCAATCCCCTTTGGCTACGTTCGTTCACTGGTACGTAGATACTTCAATAATTTACACGTTCAGCTTCGGAAAATTTTAGTAGACTGTAGACAAGCTAGGAAGGCCCTACCTGAAATAAACAGTCGTCTAACAAAGGTTCTAATGAGACTGAACAAGCCACAGATCAGGATAGTAACAAGTGCTATCACGGGACATGGCTCTTTTAACAAACATTTGTTCACCATAGGTGTTACTGATAGCCCCTGTGCGGGCATGCATGGGAAAGGAAGAAACGGCGGCTCACGTGTTGCTGACATGTCCAGAAGTCGCTTCATACAGGGCTAAATATCTCGGCACGCCGAGATCGCTCCCCGAAGTTGCTTGCAACATCAAGGGACTGCTGAGCTTCTTCGGGGAGATATCATGGCTCGAAGCATATTATTCCTCCCCACACGCAAAATACGCGCTTAGACGTGGAGTTGCGGAAAACAGCCCGTCGTAAACTAAACTAAACTAAAACAACTGTGATTGTAACGTGATTTTAAGTTTAGATACAACAACCCAATCCATTTTATAGTTTTTTTTAGTTTCAACTATTGTAGAAGGTGATGTTGGCGAACCTGCTGTAGAGAAAATGTGGTAAGCAAATACATATTATCCTCTCAACTCCCTAGCGGTCTCATGAGACAGCGGTCATATTCCGTCAAAGTTTAGCATTATATAATCAATATGAAATACTCTATCCTCTAGTGCAATAAAAAAAACTGTTATCCTATTTTATAATCTTAATCTTAATCGTTTATTTCGTATGTCATTTTCGCGTGAATGTTATTGTGTTGATTTTTGGATTTTTCTAGTGTTTTATAAGTTTTTTAGTACAGTGTTTTATTGTAAAATTGTAATGAAAATTTTGTGTGAATATAACTTATCTTTTTACTTGAATAGTTTCGAGTAATATATATTGAAATAATTGTGATTTTAACGCTGCCGACATTCGCTTGGTATGTTTTTTTTTTGTTATCAAAATACAATAAAATCTTTTTGTAATTAAGTAAAACCTGACTTTTGTTTAGACCACAAGATAGAGAATTTTGTATTGATTTTATAATGCTAAACTTCTTCATAGAAAAGTAGTCTCTAAATATAAGTTTTAACGGTTTTTAGTGCTGTGGGTGGGTGCGATCACATGCGACCGCTCGGGATTTGCCGGGCGCATGCAACTGCATGGGATTTTTATGAGGGGTTAAATTATAGGCAGTTATTTTTCAAATTTATTTAGTGATCTTTATACGCGTTGTGTTTTTATTCACATATGTAAAATATGCTATTTAAAACTGCTATTAGTTCATTTTACTTCAAATTTTTTATACTTTTAAAAACGTTACTCCACACAATGCTTTTCTCCTATAGCACGGGGTCAGTTTACATACATAAATGTCAGAAGCACAAACATCAATGAAATAATAGAACGCGTGGCGTGCTAACTTGAGCTCGGCGGTGCGCTGGTCGGGCGGGTCGCTGGGCGCGCTGGCCTGCTCGCGCATGCCGCGCAGGATGAGCGCGGAGCCCCGCTGCTCCGCCTCGCCCTCCGCGCCGCGCCCGCGCCGCAGCCGCAGCTTGCGCGCCAGCGGGTCCGACTTCACGCCTGCACGTGCACGCACACGCACACGCAAACACGACAAAAACACAACATATCTATACATACTATATTTATACAGCAATATTTTTAAAATGAATTTGCAGTCGTAAGCGGTAACAATATCTATCTATATTCTGTATATACAAGGTTATTTTACAATTACCAAATTTGCAGAGATGCTTCAGAATAAGTAAAATAGGCAAATGGTGAAAAAAAATTTAATCAAAAATCTTAATCTTACTGTCATTTTTATCTTTTAAATTCAAAATGCATGGTAATCTATTATTATTGTTGCGCGCCACAGTTGATGGAACTAGCGCCATCTGGAATCAAGTATCAGAAACAGTAGTGTCAAGATTTTTCTGGAACTCTTCCAACAGCGCCGTCTAGTAACAAATGGAAGAATTAAGCTTTCTAGAAAGCCCCACACTCGAACTTTCTGCGCCTGGTCGGTCGGCGCCCGTATTTACTGAAATATTCTGGATGTTCCGGTGGAAGAGCCCTATATAATACCGTTGACAGCTGCGATCGTGGCAGTATTGAATTCGGAGATACAAGCGAAGCTTCGGAGCGAAATAAAGTGAATCAGTGTGATTAATTATTAGCGTCTTAAGTTTTAATTGGTGTTCGGTAATTAAAGTGTTAATTTTGGTAATTCAATCGGCGGTTTTTATTGTCACGAACCCTAAGCTCGTAACATTATAACTGATTTCACCTCGCACGCACGCACATTCGTAAACCTCTTTCCGCGCCCTTCTACCGTTACACCGTAAGTACCTATGTCTGGTCGCCCGATTGACAGCTGACAATGTTGACCATGACCTCATTACGTACCCTTCATTGCCAATGAGGTAACTAAAATATTCGGACCACGGATACTATAAAACTGTGAAATGGTGATATTACATGTAAACATTACATTTTAAGCAATAAAAGTTGACGTGGTACATACAAAGATATTAAAGTGAGTCTTTATCGCGGTAAGAAAATGGCGTACGTGTCGTAAATAACCTACCAATCGAATCAAACCATTCAAGTGCAGTGAGCGATAACTTAAATAGTGAATCTGCAAACTCGCCGGAACTTTCACCTTTAGTCTTTTATCTGTATATAAAAAGTCATGTTTACGTCAAAGTTATGACGACCGCTACGGTAAAATTATTGCTGCGTTCACGGAAGTTAAAAGTACTCAAGAACAGGTAATAAGTGTAAAAAATATCATAACAAAACATGGTTATTTATGTATAAAGAATGTGGCTCGTTGACCCGATACCGTTCGGCAATCTCCAGAAACCCCCAATGGAAAAGCAACCAGTTCGGTTTTTTTTTCGTTTCGCCAGTTTAGACTCTCATCCGACGTCGTTAGATTCCATTTTGAGGAACCAATATTAGAGGGACTATTTGCGTAATTTGATTGTAAATAGTTTATTCTAATTTTTTACAATCGCTATAAAAATGACAGACGTCGGTTACGTCGTGGATAAGCAAAAATATATTTTTAATTTTATTTATTACGACGATCCTAAGCGCGTTAAAAGTTTAAAACGAAAACTGAAATCATAATTCGCAACATGTAGTTATTGTCTTAAGCTTAAGTACTTATAGTAAGCGTGTCGCTGAAGATTCTCAGTGACCAGTAGGCAAAAACTTGACAAACGAAAACGTGATTTGAATCACACACACATACACACACACACACACACAGGAACGCGCGTAAGAGTAGTTGTTGCCCATAAATGAAATTCAATTTGGCATAAATTAAAAAAAAGTAAAAGCCTTATTTACTTGTATTATCAAAAAATGTAACATTTTTTTATAGGAGAGGAGGCAAACGAGTATAAGTTTCACCTGATGTTAAGTGACTACCGTCGCCCATGAACAACTGCAATATCAGGTGACTTGCAGGTGCGTTGCCGGCCTTTTGAAAAGGAGTAAGCTCTTTTCTTGTAGGTCCCTATGTCGTATCGGTCCGGAAAAATTGCCGGTGGTAAACTATTCCACGGAGAGGTCGTACGCGGAAGAAAACTCCTAGTGAAACATACAGTGGTGGACCGCCAAGCTTCCAGATGGTGTGGACGGTATCGGGAGGTTTGCGCGTAGTGCGTTCATGAAATTTGGTGGCTGGGATCAAGCAGAACAATTCCTCCGAGCACTCCCCGTGGTATGTCCCCGTGTATGGCCAGTGAATCGAGCCGATCGGAAAGCACTCGGTCGTCGATGATTTGAGCCGCTCTGCGCTGGATGCGGTCAAGTGGAAGGAGCTGGCACTGGGGAGACCCAGAGAGCCAGGGAGCCCAGAGATAGGAACATTATTCCATGTGAGGCCGAACCTGCGCCTTGTAAAGTTGCAAGCGGTGTGCCAGCATGAAGTACTGCCCCGCTCTGCTGAGCACGCCAAGCTTTTTAGAGGCCAATTTGGCCTTCTCTTCCAAGCGACCACGAAACTGATCGTCACTCGATATGTCGATTAAATTTTCGATATAATTGGTATATAATAATTTATTTATTTGAACTTCAATGTAGAATTTGGCTACTCTTCGAAAAATAACCCTGTATACTCGTATATAAAATTGATGGCCTGAGTTTCTGATTGATCCATCAACGAATAGCCCAAACTGCTAGACGAAAAAATCTGAAATAGTAGTATCTTCTACACCGTTAATACAGAACAAAAACTGAATCGCGGACCGCAGGCGCCGGCTGGACGAGTAGCTGACACGGTAAATATGCCAAGCAGTTATTTTTTCATTTACGACAATTACTGTTATATTCTTATTTGAAATAAAGATCAAATTACGTTGACAAAGTACGCACATAAACGACGACAGCGCTTTGTTACTCATATTAAACAGAATATCAGTGTTAAATTGTAAAAAAGTTTAAAAAGAAAGAATTAGTTTTCTCGCCCGCTTGCAGTCTACTAAAGGAATTACATTGAACAGAAATCCGTAATTCCATGCGCAATGTAATTATATTCGGCAGAGCCCGTCTAGTAGTATACACAGAAGTTTTTGGCTCTCAGATCCGTCGTCCACGACGCTACTTAAAAGAAACATGTTACAAACTCAAATATTAATGAGTATACTAGAATGTCAATAACCCTGGTACTTAAATGACTGTCCGTACACGACGTAACCAATCATAAACTGTAACGCGTTGGTAACTTGTCACTCACGATCAAACGTACTGGTCGCGTGGTACATCGTGCACGACGGAGCTTTGCGGCACTGCTGTTGGGTGTTCGATTGATGGCATTCTTGTCAACAACATCAGTTATACAGACCATGGTGCTGCTGAGTCCATCGATCAATGCCCTTCGAAAACTCATTTCGATCTGCGAGCGTTATGAGGGGCCCATGGACTCAAATACATCAGCATCAAAAGCTCGAGCTCATGGTTTAAGGCGGGATGATAAACTTACACTTTCCCACCGGTCACGCTAAATGGCAGTGTCCTTAAAAGTCTCGCAGCTTAAATATCTGGGTCAGTGAAATGCTTTCAGACAATATTGATATGGACTGGGAGCGGAGGGTGTTATCTGTTCGTGCCAATATGTTGGCACGTAGGTTCGCGCGCTGCACTGCAGAAGAAAAGGCTACGTTGTTTAGAGCATTCTGCCAATCATTCTACGGATGTAGTCTATGTAGGTATGTAAGTACACGAAAAAATCTTACGACGCCCTACGTATTCTATACAATAAGGCCTTCAGGGCTCTGATGAAGCTGCCACGCTACTGTAGCAATAGCATCGGGGACGTTTGCTAATGCTTATATAGATGGATTGGCGGCGATTATTCGAAAACAAACGCATCGCATCACGTTGGAGCGGCTCCAACAGCTACCCGCAACTGTTCGCCTGTCGGATGGATCTGGATTGCCCTATAATGCGACACTGGACTAGGCTGCATGTTGAACACTCCGTATCTAAACCTAAATTTAGATGACGTTAGAGCTGTGCATCTGTTGTGTGGTGTTTGTGTATTTCATGTGAATTTAAGTAATTGTAATAATTTAATATAAATGAAATAATATTTTTTTATATTTTGAATGTAATCGAGGATAGATGTCTATGGGCCACAACAACCACTTAGCATCAGGTACACTGTGTGCTCGTTTGTCACTTTATCTTATAAAAAATATATATAAAATAGGAGCATAATAGAGAACGAAACACACTTTTATTTTTAATGTTAATAAGGCATTATATCAAAGTACTTGATTTTTAATTGATGATAATATAATCTATAGACCACAATCTACTTACCATCAGGTGAACTGTGTGCTTGTTTGTCATCCTAACTTCAACAAACTACTAATACACCCTTTTAGTGGTAACGGTGGCGGGGCATTTAATAACTATCCTCAGCTTCAGCCAATATGAATATGGATGTAAGTGTCTATTGACCACAGCATAAACATACCAGCAGGTAACTGCGTGCTCGTTCATCACCCTTACTTCTATAAAAAAAATACTCACTGGTCGGAGTGGTAGGTTCTGCAGTGGCCGCCCCGGCCAACTGTAGTTGAGCTTGGAGTGAGAAATCGATGTTATAATATTGAAGTCCAGCTCCTTTTGGTTGTTCCACCGGTTTCGGAGGCATCACGAGGTCAGGGTTGCCATGTAATTGTAAACTTTCCAAGTCACTTAACAGATGTATAGCGTCTGGTAGAGTTATTAGCTTATTACAACTGAGGTTAAGTTTCTTTAATGCGCCGCACCTGAAAATTATACAAAAAAAATATGATCACACTTACTGGAGCTTTGTTCATATGAGTCATTATAGAATAATCTATAAAACAAAAAAGGCCCTATTCACTTATGGAGAGAAAATTAACAGTTGCATATTATATAACAAAGATTAGCTCTGTATAATAATGCATAGCATTTTGAATTGTTAGGTAACAATTTTATTTTGACAACAAAAAAAACTCTCATCACGGGGGGTATATTGCCATGGTTGTCACGCGAGTAGGTTAGCAAACGCAGTTTTTTTTGTCCTTTTGCTGTTATTAGAAAGATGCTGCCTGTTTTCTGTCTCAGTGTCCCTCTGTCGCCTCTAACGACACCCACGGGAAGATGTGGGGTAGTAGTGGGTATTCTTACCCCCCACTACACGGGATATACCCCCTATTTTGATACGAAGAGACGGCCCAGTATCCAGAGGTCCCTCTATTCTTGGCTACGGTGGCAACCCTGGGCAGGGGGTGCTAAGAATCTCCGGTGGAGGTTCAGTTGCCACTTAAGACGACTCGACCTGGAAACACAACGCACGCACCCTGAGGACTGACTAGAAGGTCCTGGAGTCGGAAGAAGAGATAGACAAGTTGCGCTGGAATATTATAGGATTGTCCGAGGTCCGAAGAGAGGGAGAGGACACGGTGAGTAGCGCTGTAATCCATAAATTAATTTTTCTTGGTAGTTTTTAAAATATAGCTAATTGGATAGCTTATTCAACTTCAATATATTATCAAAGCATTTGCTGTTTTTGTGTAACTGATATTGATTACAACTTATGCAGCTCGGACATTTTTTAACGTTTGGATTATATCACGCGGCGGCTGATCATGCGTAACCATAAGTTTTCCTTTCGTAGATATAAACATTGCTAGCCTTGCATGATAGTAATTGATATACACTGTTTAATGAACCGAAATGAATAAGGTGATACTGCAACGTTTAATGAACTGAAACGAACACATATACGAGTGTAGTGGTAAAAATTCGTAATGAACTTGTATACAAAATAAATATGTAAAACATGCACAAAAGTGACGTAAATAATATTACCATTAAATCTGACACATTATGTATATATAAAACCTGACTCTCTAGTTAGAATCGCACATGTGCTTGCGCACACACTAGTTCACTATAATCCTGTCCTATGTAGATGGATATTTTCCGTTGAGACTGGCCGCCGAGACTGAAATATTGTCTGGGACTTAAAGAGTTCGCTTCGGACATATATCAATATGTACATATAAATGGTATGAATATGATTAGAAACACAATAAATTAAATAAGTACCGATTATGATTTGTTTTGATTTGATTGTGTATATAATAAAATGAAGTGTTTGTAAACCAAATATATGTGTGGGCTCAAGGATAATTCCTGCGTTGACTATAATTGAAACCGGCTTAGAAATATAAAAAAGAATAGATATCAAGTTCTTATTCATATAAAAATGTATTTTTTTTTTCAAATATTGTAGTATAGGAGAAGAAATGATAAAATAGGTAAAACTCCCGCTCTGAGTTTTTCGAATAAACTTAAGTAATGTAAATAATTCATCATATTTGAAATCGAGTCTCGACGATATTAGTCTGCTTTCGGGATCAATACACGAATGCAGTAAATTAAGAAGATAATATTCATTCATATATAATAGGTACGTATCAACAGTGGAAGTAGTTGGATGGAACCTACTTGTACCAAAATAATTAACTTACTGAAATTCATAATTTATAGATTACATTGAACATAGCTCTTACGAAGGAGTAGGATTGAAAGACGTTCTTTTTTCGATAGTAAGGAGAAAGTCTATGTTTATTGAATTGAGCTGTAGTGGTAATTTATTTCACGAAAGCTTTACAATGCATTTAAATCTAGAATAGTATATGATGTTTTGATAAAAGAGACTAGTTAGGACTTGCTTTTTGTAAAAGTAGGTATGTATACTAGATGATTTTTTTAACGTTTGGAAAAAAGAAGGTGTAACAGGTGAACGAACTAGAAGCCTATCGCACTGATATTTTACAATCTTTTTAATTTTACATTAACATATTATGAAATTGATTTATCATTGAAACCACTTCTATTCCGTTTACCACTTACACTATATTTTTTTCAGACGGTAAAAAAATTACCCAGTATATTTTTTATAAGTAACAAACAAAAGTTCATCTGAGTAACTACTGGACAGTGGAAACCAGTAACCAACTTCACACAAGGCTAATGATGCATTTACACTTCTCAGGCCTTTCTACACTCTACAAAACAGAACACGACAGTGAATATACTTTTGCTCCTCTTAATTATTCCTTATCTAACTCACTTAACAAAAGGAAGCCACCTGGTCGTCTTCTACGGGACTCATGGATAAGGAGAGTATCATTTAAAGGTGCTAGGTTAAATTTGCTGCTATCGTTAAGCTTACAGCCGGCCGTGGCCAGAGGCCCTTATCAAGTTCTGAACTGTTTATGGACTAATGCTAGTGAAGTCGTAAGCGTAACTAATTATACAAAGAGTAAGCTCTATGTCCTTTTGTGCTTGTTCCTGTAAAGCTAACACAACAATTCCATGAGGATACATGAGTATAAAATGCGACCACTTATAATGAGGTTTGCTGTTTTTGTGTTTGACGCCATTTATAAATATTATATTCACTAGCGACACACCCAGACTTTGCCTAGAATTAAAGACCATTTCATTAAGGTGATACCTCGAAAATTTAGTGGTTTTTCTATTTAACATATTTTTTTTAAGTTTTATAGATTACAAATCAAAATTTCGGTATATGATTTTTGACACCACAATATTCTTACGAATAAGTTCATGGATTATTTTTAAGGCATAGTTAATAATCCTATCTAAGTTCTCATAAACCAGTTTTTTAATCCATAAAGAAGTTTTGTTAAAATAAATAAAAATGTTGTTTAGCGCTTACTTAGTTTCTTTCCGAGCGCTTGCTAGGTATGGCTATCTCATAATTTGCGTACTATGAAGTCATTGCATCACTTTCATTTTGACACTCCCTCAGTCGTCCGTTAGCTTCACCGACAAACGAATAAGCCACGCCCCCAAAACTTTGATTTATTTTCAAGGTATCCTCTTAATCAATATTTGGTTTTCTAAATGTTCAAGATACAATGTAGCCTAATCACTCCTGGCACTGCTCTTTATGTTCATGAAATTTTATTACAATTGGTACAGTCATTTCGAACATTACCCTGAACAGACAGACAAATTTAAAAAAAAAATGCTTAATAGTATGCAAATAACTTGTCAGCTCAATATAAGGCAGTTACTTCGATATATTAGACTGACACTTCAATTTTATTTACATGTATGCATTATGAATAGTCTCACCGACACAGTCCTTCAGGTATCATCTCCAACAGATTGTTGGCGGCTGAAAAGACCTCCAGACAACCCAGCTTGCCGATACCGGAGGGAATTCCTTCAAAGTCCAGCTGATTATCATCGACGTGCAGACGTCGCAGGTTCTGCAGCTTGCACAGCGAAGCTGGCAGCGATGTCAGTTTATTTCGGGAAAGGTTCAGACATTCTAACTTCAACCATATGTCCATTGCTGTGGGTATAATATTATGTACATTTAAATTACGAGCCTTTGAGTCTATATTTATCATTTGATGGAGCTCCTAGTTCTTCCATTATGATTGTATGAACTGACATAGTTTCCATTTAGAAAATAAACTTATTGCATCATTGAATCATATTACAATATTGGTATTAAAATGTGAGCACTCATGTCAAAATTTCCATAAATGACAAAATTCAACTTCAAAATTTACATTGAATTATTTCTTATTTAATAGCTTGAATAAGGTTTTACTTTATCAACTATCGTCATTTCTACTAAATTTATAAAGCAAAAAAAGTGATTTCATTGCCCAGGATTTCTTCTACGGAAAAATATTACTATCAAGAAAAACCATAATGGTCACCTCATTCTTCATCACCATTCGCTCGAAAAGTCTACTTTTGGACCTCTCCTGTTGTAAGGAGGAATTGCCTTAATTATTTTGCTTGGTAGGTGGATTGGTGATCACAGATGTCTGGTACTCTGGTAGGCTGCTGCTCAACGTCTATCTAGGTGTTGTACATTTGACGTAAACTTGATGGTTACAGGGTTAATTTTCATAGAGTAGCCAAATTTTAAACTTAAATTCAAATAATTATTTCATTTTTATATATTCATTGATTAAAACTACTTTTACGGATTTTATCGCGTTTTATTTATTTTATTTTTAATACCCGACGTTTCGGGTGCTTTCTAGTCTGCAGTTTGTGATCATATGTTAGACGGCCCCAACCATTACATAAGATTTGATAGATCACAAATCCCCGCGAAAGATATAGAAATTAAAAAACATCCTAATTTCAATAGAGAAGGAGGTTGGGTACTACCGCCCGCTTGAAACCCTGTAATTAATAAAATTAAAACTAAACCCAAGCATACCACTGCAACACTACAAGACACAGTAAGTTCATTCTGCGTAAATCGGACCATAAATAATAATTAAGAACTAACCGAGTCCGAGTCAACACTAACATCGGGACGTCAGTCACCTCAGTCCCCCGTGACCATGGATGCTGGAAAGCACCCGAAACATCGGGTATCAAAAATAAAATAAATAAAACGCAATAAAATCCGTAAAAGTAATCTTAATCAAATTCAAATATAAAGAATGATACACCGTTATTGCAGTTTTTGAAATATGACTTCTACTTTTATTTTAAACCAGCGATACGTCCCGGCTTGGCGCGGATGACTTTTGGAGCTCGAAAACAGCGCCACCTACCGCGCCCTATTGTAAATTTAAGCCATCTAGGGACCCACTCAAATGCACACAAAAAATTTCATCAAAATCGTTCGAGCCGTTTTCGAGATTTAGCGAGATTAATGGACAGCAATTTGTTTTTATCATATATATATCATCATCATCATCATTACAGCCCTTCACAAGTCCACTGCTGAACATAGGCCTCCCCCAAGTAATGCCACAAAGCACGGTCCTGAGCCACCTGCATCCATCGACTTCCTGCATATCTTACCAGGTCGTCACTCCATCTAGTGGGGGGTCGCCCTACACTACGCCTACCGGTACGAGGCTGCCACTCGAGAACCTTTCTTCCCCATCGGTTATCGGTTCTTCGAGCTATATGGCCGGCCCATTGCCACTTCAGCTTACTAATCCGTTGGGCTATGTCGGTCACTCTGGTTTTACTGGGGATATCCTCATTTCTGAGTCTATCACGCAGAAAAACTCCGAGCATAGCCCTCTCCATAGCTCGCTGAGCGACCTTGAGCGTCCTCATACGGCCAGCAGTGAAGGACCACGTCTCAGATCCGTAAGTCATCACTGGCAACACGCACTGGTTGTACAATCTAGTTTTTAGAGATTGAGGTACCTGACGAGAATATGTGTCGTAATTTCCCGAACGCTGCCCAGCCGAGTTGAATCCGCCGATTAACCTCTCGGTCGAAGTTGGACTTACCTAGCCGGACTATTTGTCCCAGGTAAACGTACTCGTCAACAACTTCGAGCATAGTGCTCCCAACAACTACCGGCATAGGTGTGACATGGACATTAAACATGATCTTTGTTTTGTCCATGTTCATCTTAAGACCTATCCGTTGGGAGGCACTATTGAGGTCATTGAGCATAGTGCTTAAGTCCTCCAGCGATTCTGCCATAAGGACTATATCGTCGGCAAATCGAAGGTGAGTGATGTACTCGCCATTGATGTTAATACCGTATCCTTTCCAGTCCAGTACCTTGAAAACGTCTTCCAATGCAGCGGTGAAGAGTTTCGGGGATATAACGTCACCCTGTCTTACACCTCTCTGCAGTTGGATAGGTTTCGAGCTCTGGTTCTGTACTCGGATAGCCATCGTAGCCCTACTGTACAAACACTTCAGCACTTCGATATACCGACAGTCAATTTGGCACCGCTGAAGGGACTGTAGCACCGCCCAAATTTCGACGGAATCAAGGCTTTCTCATAGTCCACATACGCCAGGCAAAGTGGCAGATTGTACTCTTCAGTCTTCTGTACAATCTGCCGCAAGGTATGTATGTGGTCTATGGTACTGAAGCCTTTTCGGAAACCGGCTTGTTCGGGAGGCTGGAAGTCGTCGAGTCTGCGTGCGAGACGATTCGTAATGACTCTCGAAAACAGCACGTAGACGCGGCTCAGACAGGAAATCGGCCTGTAGTTCTTCAAGAGAGCGTTGTCGCCTTTCTTAAAGAACAAGACCACCGCACTTCTGCTCCACGCCTCTGGAGTAGTGCCACCATGGAGGACGGAATTGAAGAGCTTCTGAAGGATTTCAAGTACCGGTGTTCCACCCGCTTTCAGAAGCTCCGCTGTAATTCCATCCTCGCCTGGGGCCCTGCCGTTTTTAAGGTGCTGGAGAGCCATTCTAATCTCGCTTAGACTGATGTCCGGGATATCATCGGAATAGTGTCGGATAGGACTTGCTCTTGGATCGTTACTCACACTTGCGTGTGGCTCCAACGATGATGTATACAGTTGCCCATAGAACCTCTCAATCTCACTCAAAATCTCAGGTGTCCCGGAAACGATGCTGCCACACTCAGTCTTCAGCTTTGACAGTTGGCCTTACTGGCAGACAGATCTCTGGCAAAGACTTTGGAGCCCTGGTTCCGCTCGATCGCTTCTTTAATACGAGCAGTATTAATGTTGCGTAAGTATGCATGCATTTGGAGATCTGTCTGTTCAGTTGCCTGTATGCTGTCAAATCTGTTGACGATCTCACCTCATCTCCCGTCTAACAGCCATGAGATTAAGAGTGTGATCGGAGAGTTTTTGTGCGGCGGGTCTTGCAGAACTTAGCTCCGACCGCATGGACAGTTTCCACGAGCTTGTCATTCATATCGTCCACTGCATTGCAATCTTGTAGGCACTGAAAGCGGTTACGTAACTCGACCTGAAAATTTTCGGGATTCTGGATTAGAGCACGAGGGGGGACGGAGCGTTGACTTTTTTTATATATATATATATATATATATATATATACATATATATATATATATATATATATATATAATTGAAAATGATTTATGGGCAACAAAGTTTTTGCCTACCGGTCGAACCTTACGAATGTGGGCGTGCGCAGTAAAGTAATTTTTTCTTCATTATTTACCTATATTACTTATTCTGAACCTTCTTTGCAAATTTGGCCGGTTATTGTAAAATATACATTCCTTACGACCACCCGCAGGAAGAAACATAAAATAAACACATATACAGTAAATTAGACTAAAGTAAAAGCGGCTATCGATGCACGACAAGATAATGAGTAATGTGACTAAACACATAGTTATCATACAAAAGTGAAACCAACAAGTGAAATAGCGATTGTCGATAACAATTGTTGTAAATATGCAAACATTCTTCATGTGTGATTTCTGTTTAAAGAATGTGCTTCACTCACAATGAGAAGTAAAATTAAGCGATTTTATGAACACATTCAAACTTTATCTCTCTTTATCTTTTATTATATAATGTTGTTAAAGATTGGTATGCAAACAATGCAAGTAGTTTTCATGTCAACTGCTTTAAACATTTTTAATAGTAGGGGAGCCCGAGAGGCTAAATTGTGAGTTACTCGAGCGTCGTGGGGACCTTTTGGATTGTGAAGCTTAGATGCTAAAAACAAAAAAGGTTATATTATGATGTATGCCTTTTCAATGGTGGGATTTGCGGCTATAGATTTTCAAAAATGTAAAAAAAAATAGTCACAAAATTACTAGAGCGCGTCAGATATTTACAGTGTACGTCGAAATAAAAATCGACCTCTAAATGGGTATTAAAACTAATAGCTCTGGTTTTCACAGGCGTCTTTTTTCGGTACTGTGAAGATATCTCAATGCGGGATTTCAAAGAAAAAAATTCGATTTTTTTTGAAACGGTCTAATATTATAATGAAGAAAAAAACGTAGAAAATATATTTTTAATCTACATCGTTACTTGAATCGATCGATTCATCGTCACGATGAATCGATGAAAGAGTAGAAAGGAAGAGAAGCGCGAAGTGGGAAATACATAGTTCTCAGCAGCTGCACGAACCACACTATATTGAGGATTTTAACTACTTCGGCTTGTGGAAATCGGCAGATTATATTATTTTCGTGATCCTTAAATGATTCCCTTGAAAATAAAAATAAAATTAACCGCGGTCGAGTAAATCAAGGTGACGATTTTTTTACAACTTTGTGACTCTCCTATTTCCTTAGGTCAAGTGCAAATCGTCAGTAACTCACCTTGCCTTAATCTGACGCGCTCGAGACTTCGACCTTTCGATTATTTTTACTATTCTGTTCGGCTGCCCTAAGCGCACTTCCCCATATGTATAAATATCTCACATTTGTTGGCGGTACTTAATAGGGTGCAAGGTTTTACCCCCTCATGTTATTCTGCCGCGCTCGAGTAAATCCTGAAACCCCTGCTTGAGCTCCCCTACTATTATAAATATGAAAAATACTTTACTTTTCTATATTGTCACTATAACTTGAGTATATGAGAGAAATACATGTTTTGTTATAATTCTAAATCCATGCCTGTCAAATGAGTTAAAGCCAGAACAGGCAGAGATCATCTTATACTATTCTTACCTGAAGAAACCTCAGTTATCTCATTGTCACTAAGATTCAGTCTTTTAAGACTTTGCAGTGAGTACAGTGCATCAGGTACTTTAGTCAACGCATTCTTCGAAAGATCTAAATCTGACAAATTGCAGAGTGTGTCAAGTGATGTCGGTAGATTGGCAAGGGTTCGCTGTGTGTTGCGCATGTGCAACGTCTCTAGACTTTGAAGTGAGGGTAACTGCCTAAAAATTTATAAATGTTATTAAATAATAGCTTTATCAAATGTTGGATTGGCGTAACACACTTGGTATTTGTGAATTGGTGATCAATGTTTTAGTAGCCAGTTGGTAAAGTTTAAAAGACATAGGTATCAGTGAATGGAGGAAACCTGTGTTTAGCAGTGGAATCTTAATAGGCAACAAATGAATTAGTAGTCTGACTGAAGCTTTAACTTCATCACCAATGTTTAAAAAAATACCTTGGGTCAAAAGCCAGAGTTTTGGCCGAAGCTAAGGTATTTTGTTCAACCTTCACAAATTAATAATCGCCAGCGTACAACTCGCAGCTCACGCCGATGTATTGATGACATCATTAAAATACACTATATGTTATATAATATGTAGTAAAGTGCAGAGGATATTTGCATGGAAAGTAAGCTAGTAGTAGTAGAGTAGTAAGTCTCGAACAAAGAATCAACCAAGAGGTCAACTGAAAAATCCCACCTGCTTGGTATATCCGTTCCGGAATTCCCTATATATCATATTCTCAACTCATGCACTTTAGAATATAAAATTACTTACTGTAAGTTTATAGTGCTAAGGTTGGTCTACTAAATTGAGACATGATATTAACTTTTAGTGATGACCAAGATTATATTTTGCAATGATGGACTCAGTCAGTCAGAAAACCAAAGTAACCAACAAAGTCTAAATAATCATTAAACTGAAGTTACAATGGACTGACTTTAAATACATTCCACTATAATTTTAAGAATTGACAATAGTTCTGAAAAGGTTCATGTGTGACTGCCTTCAATGAACAAATGCAGGTTTTAGTGCCACTCCCACAAATTGGAGTATAATCAATAACAGTGACTTACCTTCTTAAATCTGACCTTGAACTAATTGTGTTAATATTTTATGTAAAAAGGACAATTTCTTTTGTTATCTAGACGTTTATTAATTTACTTCATATCAAACTCGTGGGTGGCCAGAATAAACCTAGTTGTTGACAAACTAGAATACTGTTGATAAAAAATTCTTTTAATTTTGTTAAACTATGTATTGTTTTGTTGTTAACTACAAAATCAATTGCAACCACTAGAATGCTATATACAATATTTTTCCGTTAATGACATCACTCACTAGTGACTACTACTAGTGACTAGTACTAGTCACTAGTGACTAGTACTAGTGACTAGTACTTCTTTATTAGATTTTCTTATTACACTACTGAATATAGGCCATTTTAGAATTAATGCACATTAACATAAAGAACATTGTAATTGGATCCTAATAGTTTTTGACAATACAAGCACCACTACAACAATTAGAAACTAAAATGTTGTAGGTTTAAATTGGCTATTCATCTACTGACATAAACCACTTCTAACACATGTATTACAATGCAATACAATTTTTTTTTAACAAACAAACAATTGCAATAAAACCATTATATTATGAAATATATCTTTCTAACAGAAGAGTGACAATCAAGCACACAGTCCACCTGATGGTAAGCAGATGCTTTAGTCAATAGACATCAACATCTATCATTAATTAAGCCTTGTTAACATGGAGAAATAAGGTGAAATATCATATTACCAGTTACAAGGTTTTCCGGTTCTTATCACTAACTACACAATATATAAAAATGTTATACTGCCATTTTAAATAGGTGTTCCGCGCAAATCTGGTTCTTACCCATGCATGGCTCTACCATATAAAAAATCTATATTCTTAGTGATGTTGTATACATAATTAAATGTAACTTTAATTTTGCTTAACATAGATAAAATATAAATATTAAAAATAAGTAAATATTAAATTACCTCAGCTGAAATAGTCCTAGAGGATTATCATTAAGTATAAGAGTCTGTAGGTTCGCCAATCTTCTAGTCTGAGGGGGAAGAGTCTCCAACAAATTGTTTGATAAATCAAGAAACAAAAGATCTGTCAATTGAACAAATAGTGTTGGAGGAATACTCTCAATCCTAAAACAATTTATTTAATTACTATTAATATAAAATGTTATTGCCACACCATGTGTTGTATGTAATGAGTATCACAACAAACTATGTGGTCTACATTGAATTAATTATATCAGCACCAGGATACTTATTGGAACAGGAATATTACTTGTGTAGTGGAGGTATATATACAAAAAAAATTGCGAGTAGGAGTTGAAAAATGTGTTATGTATATACTTTATCATGTATGTTGGTAATTCATCTATCCTGTGAATCGAGAATCACAATAATTTTTAAAGAAAGAAATTTACTGTTTGCTGGAATTCAGAGATATTTGAGACCGTTTTAAATTAAAGATTTAGTTTGAAATTTTTTGTATTTCCATTCTTTCAACTTTAAATTTTTTATTTAATTTATTGTATTACTCACGTTATTAATTTTAAGTTACACTCTATGTTTATAAGCAACGGTGTCTTTTTAAATTTGTTATTGAAATATGTTAAAGTTAGCTGAATCAAAGTTTAATAATCAGTGAATGCAAAGATGTGTACAACTTTTTAAATTATACCCATAAAAATAATGTAATTATATTAGAAATCAACGAATAGATACTGATTTCTGATACCTCACTTCAAACCATAGTAAATATTTAAAATTTAGTAACAAATAGGTTGATTAAAACTACTTTTACGGATTTTATCGCGTTTTATTTATATTAATGTTAATACCCAACGTTTCGGGTGCTTTCCAGCATATATAGGGCAAACAAAGAGATCAAAACAGCCTCCTCACTTTGAATACTGCAAAAACAAAGTATGTTTGTTTTGGTATATTAACCCGTTCTCGACCAGGCAGTAATTTCCAAATTCAAATCCATACTCACCCATGTAACCGGCTACTGCGTGTACCTGCCACGTGTAATTGTGAATATTTGTCACGTGTGACAAGCATAAAGTATTTGGGAGTTATTCTTGATGATGGGCTTAGCTGGGTCCCACAAGTAACTGCTCTAGCGAGTAAAACAAGGAGGCTAATTTATATATTTAAAAATTTGCGTGATGTGGCTAGTTGTGATGTTCTTTTGTTAACATACAGGTCCCTGTGTGAGAGCGTTATTTCATATTGTATTTGCGTCTGGGGGTGCGCAGCAAAGACACACCTCATACTACTAGAGCGTGCGCAACGCGCCGTCCTAAAAGTTATGATGCGGTTGCCTTTTAAATACCCCACACATGACCTGTACAAGCAGTGCGATATGTTATCAGTACGCAAATTATTTGTATACCAGTGTCTTCGTAGATATCACCGCCATTCTGTGCCTTGTCCTCCTATAAGTAATAAACGAGTAACAAGATTACCTGTACCTAGAGCCCAGACCGTGTTTGCTAGAAGAAGCTACAATTTTTGTGCACCAATGCTTTATAATAAATTATTCAACAAAGTTAAAACAGTCAATAACAGAAACGTTAAAACTATTATTAACCTTAATAATCATGAATTCAAGAAAATATTAAAACAAACTCTTAACGACTTGAATTATAATGAAATTGAAGAATTGTTCGTAAAGATCACTTAATCGCTCGTGTGTGAACACACACACACACACACACACACACACGTACACACACACACACACGCACACACACACACACACACACACACACACACACACACACACAGACGCAATTTGGCCTTACATTAGAATTAGTACCGTATTATCACTTTTTAATTTCATTTTATTTTTTACTAACAAATTTCTTTATAATAGTAATATACTTACATTATAATACTAAGACAATAGATGGGGAAGTCTGAGGCCTGTAGCACAGTTTTTACTAACACAGGCTTCAGAGCTCAAAAATAATTGTAACAATAATGTAATGTATGTTAATAATAAATTTCATTTCATTTCATTTCATTTCATTTCATTTCATTTCATTTCATTTCATTTCATTTCAATTAGAACCCGCGTAAAAGAACACATAGGTGACGTGAAGCATCAACATTCCGGGAAGTCTGCAGTTTGCGATCATATTCTAGATGGCCCCAACTATCACATCAGATTTGATAGACCACAAATCCTCGCGAAATAACATAGATTCTTACCAAGGATGATACGTAAGGCTATTGAAATTAAAAAACATCCTAATTTCAATAGAGAAGGAGGCTGGGTACTACCACCTGCTTGGGATCCTATAATTAATAAAATTAAAACTAAACCCAAGCGTACCACCGCAAGACTTCAAAATACAGTTAGTTCATTCTGCGTAGATCGGACCAAAGACAATAATTAAAAAGCTGAAGGTACTCCGGGTTAACTTTGACATCGGGATGTCAGTCACCTCAGTCCCCCGTGACCATGGGTGCTGGAAAGCACTTGAAACATCGGGTATTAACATTAATATAAATAGAACACGATAAAATCTGTAAAAGTAGTTTTAATCAATGTATAGTGTTCGCGTAAATATAAGAAATCATTAACAAATAGGTTATGAGTGAGTTTTTAAATATCGAAATATGCAACATTTTTTCTTTTTGAGGTGCTAAACCCTAAAATTAATTATAAATAAATACCTAGCCCTGGGATAATTATTTGTAGGTCAGCAGCCTAACACTTCACCACCAAATCATCAAGTACTTGTGTAAAAAGGGTACAAAACTAGTTTCACAAAGAAAGGAAAAAATATGGTGTTCTCCATTTTTAAATCTAAAAATTCCTAATTTAGTGTGATATTACATCTATAGTTTTAGTTATATATAGCATAACATAGTTTTTTATATTCAACTTGGGTAACAAGTGTGACAAACATTTTACCTTAGCATTCTGCAAAGTAATTTACAACCAACAACTCCATTTAGAAATATAAAATATCTCACTACTATATTTTAGAAGAAAAACAAATTCTTAGCAGTGTAATTGTGAAAAGTTGATCAGTTCAATCAATAAATCAAGAAGTTTCTTCACTATAAACATACCCTACTTTTGAATTTAAGTTAATTAACAAACATACTTATTATGGCTGAGGTTCAAGACGAGAAGTGACTTTGCTTTATCCAAACCTTCAGGAACTTCCTTGAGTCTGTTATGAGATAAGTCCAGAGTAGTAAGCTCTTCAAGCCGGAAAAGCTCTGCAGGAATTCCTGAGCTTTTTACTTTGTTATGCCTTACATTTAATGATCGTAAGCATTTCAGTTCAGTTAGTTCGCCAAATAACTTTTCCAGATTATTCTTTTTTAAAGATAAATTTTCCTATAAAAACCAAATGTATTATTTATATGCTGTAAGTTGGAATTTTTTAACGATAAATCAAAGCTTAATGCATGTATTTATATCATAACAAACAATTTAATCAGAATCAAGACAATTATTTACCAATTTCATTAGCTTTCCCAACTCTTCTGGAATATCTGCTAGATTTGTTTTATCAAGTCTTAGCCATTGAAGTCCAGTCATATACCGAATGGCATCAGGAAATTTATCATCCTAAAAAATAAGTAACATTTAGGCTAACAATACAAACAGGACAACGATGCAAGTACAACGTATATTTTATGCAAGAAATAGATAACTATTGAAACTTACACTAAAATCATTACATGTGAAATCCACTCCTCGTACAAAAGGCAACAAGCCTGTATTTGCCATGTTTTTAAATATTTCCAAAACAAATCATTGGTTATCACACTATCATTGTATCATTTTATGATTGACAATCAACAAATCAACAATCAAGTTGAGACGATTCTTGACAGTTGACATTTAAATGACAATTATTCCCAATTTTTTATCTATGTTCCAATAAGGCCGCCAACATTCAGTTAGAATTCCGTTTAGAAAAACAGTTTTGGAATAACGAAACGGGATTTCGAACGCAGCAAATACATATAAATTCAAGGTTCTATCACAGGCTTTGAGTATTCAACCAACTGGAAAGGCCATGCACGTTAATTCCTAAACAAAAAGTCTGTCAATGTCAGGGGGGCGCAAGAACAACACACTACTACGTATTTCACTACAAATTTTAAAATAAAAAAATTGAATAGCGTCACTATACACGCACACTAAAGTCTTATTTTTAACGAAGCTGCCCGATTATGGAGTGTAGAGGTAAGGAGTACAGACTGTGTATTAAAAAGCGTCCGTAGAAAAATGTTAAATAAGGGTAGTGGCACTAGCTACGGCGTAAATTTTAAAGACCGCGCTGAAAAATATTAGTGGGATAGACGACTTTTTCGAGGTTATATTTACTAAATCAAATTATTTCAGATTTTAGAGCTACTGAGCAGTTTAGCAGCACACTTCACACCGTCGACAACTGCTAAGTCCAATTCATGTAGCTGTTTCCTGTAGCTGCTGCAGCGCTTGTTGTGGAGAGTTTTTGAACTGTTATTTATTGCTTACAGATGGAAACTCTGAGTATTAAACCAAAGGAGACGGCCTCGCAAGGCTTACCCCTCTGTAAAAGGTACGAGAGTTCGACTCATACCAGTTATATAGAACTAGTTGCTTCGCGTCGTGCGTCATTTCGAAGTGATCGTGCCAGTTAATCGAGCTCCGACAAAATGCCGAATCGTGGTGTATTTACATGAAAAAAAAAAAACAATCAAAAACGTCAAGTATACAAAAGGACAATGTGACTTTTCATCTGTGAGTATTTTTAACATAATATTAAAGTAATTTTATCATTAAAACTCGTACTTTGTGAATATTTTTGTCTAAAAACCAAGTGTGGCCATCATAGTTCATAAAGTGAAAAATAATCTATTTTTAAATAAATATAATTTACTACACAAGTTAAATACATTAACGAAAATATATTTCCTAATAACTAAATCAGTTTGTGATGAATATTAATCACTACATATAGATGTGTAGTGGATTTTGTTAAATGATTTATATATTCAGCACAATTTCAACACGATACTGAATATTATATAATTTAATATAATCGATAACTAGTATTTATCAAAATATTATACAAAATAAAGGCCAAATAAGTCAAATCGAAACTTGCTACTTCGCAGCAAAAGTGTGCATTTTTTATAAAAATAAACTGGTATCACTGCAATCGAAAATATTGCACTCTAGTGATGAACGCCACAACTTTAGCTATCGATAAGTTAATTAACCATGCAGGTTTGTCTGCCGAACCGGTTTGTAGTCTTTATTTAGCTATTAAAATAAAGTATTACAAAAAGTAGTAAATTTTTCTATTATTGGTTTGTTTTTACAGATTTCCAAAAGATCCTTTTAGGCTGCAAACTTGGATTGTAGCTTGTAGAAACCATGAGTCTTGGGTACCTAAACGGACTAGCACCATTTGCTCCGAACATTTTGAAAAATCATATTTCATACCCCAAGATTACAATAAAAGAAGGTTAGCATACACTGCAGTACCAACCACGAACTTGTGGGAGGTAATGTTTGGCTGTAATTATATTTAGATTAAATATTTTTATTATTACCTTTGACACCATTCTAATTTAAAATATTTTATTAAGTTTACAAAAGCATTAATCTATCAAATTTAATTCATATACTTATATACATACATCGGAACGGCAACCTCGGGGTTGTTTTTTGGTGAGGCAACACCACTGTCCCCATTTGACAAGGGTTCAATCGTGCTACCGTACATTGTGTCCATTATAATGAAAGAGATCTAAGATCACACACTTTTTAATTTTATACCACAATAACTTTATTCTACACTTCTTTTTATAAAAACTCACAAATAATACTTACAAAGTTTTACCAGGAAAATATAACTACACCAACGAGCGCAGTCTATTCCCGCGTTGGTACAATAAGGAAAACGTAATAACGTCTTAGGTGTGCTCTGATTGGTCGATGATTTGATTGGTCAATACCTCACTAAACATTAACTTTTTATTGAATTCATTAGGTTACTTAAGTAATTTCAATTACCAGTATTAATAATCAAATCGAAAATTATTTATTCTACGATTTAAAACAATATTTGAGTTAAAAGTTGATAATCGAATAAATAGTTGTTTTAATAGGAATTAGTTGTCAATAAAGAGATTTGTAAACCAAAAGAGTTTCAAAGAACTAGCTAGTTACATGTTATGTTTCTGATAAATTGCCGTTATTAAATTGTAATATTAATAATTATACACTGTTGATTACTATAATTTATAACAATTAAAAGAAAATGCAAAGTTTAGGCTTCGTCAACAGAAGACGTTTTTGCGGCGACACGGCCATTCTGATCGGCGATGCGCGCTCTGCACCTGCCGTGAATAATCTATCTCTATTGACCTGTTAACACAGTATTCATTTTGTAAATGATGGCCTTGATTTGGAACCATACCCAATAATAATGAGATGATCATATAGCAAGTGAAGCTTTAAAAAGCACACTTAATTTTAATAATTAAAACGATAAAATATTCTCATTGCATTTATAAATATGTAAAGTTACAGATTGTAGTTGTACTCTCAATTAGGTACGAGTATAGTATTGCTTCATTCTCACGTGACGGTAATGCTCTGTGATAGACACAAAGTTTTTGATTTGAAGGAATAGATGAAGTAGGATCAGGAACACCGCTCTGTGATAGATACTAAGTCTTTGATCTGATGGAGAGTAAGGTAAGGAGCTTAGAACTATTGCTCCATAAAAGGCACGAAGTCTCTTTATTTGACGGGAAAATAGGGAACTGGTTTCTGAGCGGTCATGAACGCCGTGTCCCAGCAGGATAACATGAGTAAATTGTCGCCTCCACGGCTTGTGGTTATTTTTCTTTTTTTTTTTTAAAGAATAACTTAATGTTTAAATTTGCATCCACGGCTTTTGAATGTGAATGAAGTAAAATTGTTTAGTTAAATAGCTATGTAATTAATAGATACAGTAATTATAATAGATAGTAGCTTAGAATAAATTGGAAACTGCTCACCATTTAATTTGTAGCATCTATCATGACTGAAGGTCCAGCAGCGTTGTCTACCAGATTACCGTCGTCATTTTGCAAGTTTTGAGGCTGTAAATCATTTAGGGAAAGCGAATCATGGGATCCACCGTCACTTATTGGCTCGTTGACAGGCTCGTTGCTCGGAGACACGGCTGCCAGCTCACCAGGCTGCGGTTGCCCTTCGCAACTGGTCATGAGCTACTTTACGTGGACGACCACGTCTCACCACTGGTTTAATAAGATAACGGTCATTCTATGACTCAACACGTCAATAACATCTTTTTTTTTGTAATGTGCTTCGTAGTAATTTTTGTGTGATTGTTAATTAAGAATATAACACGAAAGGTTCTCACCGGGATGGAATACATATTTTCCTATGTCTCTAATCGACGATTACTGACGAAACCCTAAATTAGCACTAGCTAGTTTTGACGCAGGTTGGGTTGGTGCTGGTGCTGTCACCAGCATATTAACAATGCCGGATTCTCCTTGATGCTCGTCTGTGTCTGTAGGCGACACGGCCGCCTGTTGGTATAAGACTGCACCTGGTTGTGGGGCACGTCGTAACTGGTCATGCGGGACTTTACGGGGCCGACCATGATGACTGACAACTTTCTTCAAAAGGGATCGGTCGTTATAGAGTACTCTATGAATATCGTAGGGCACACTATACTTGTGGTCCAACAAAGTCTGATTTCTGGGGTTATTTTTTATTAAGGGGAAATAATAAAAATACTACCTCAAATGGCATAGCAAGATTCTCCGTTATACCGAAAATATTGCAAAATTAATTTTGAAATAAATATGTGGTAAAATTGGGGATTAATGTTAAGTACTATGTTAGACGAAAACACGATTCCGTAAAATTTTCTCGATAGGAAAAAAAAGATCCAAAGTTGCCTCCAAACTGAAAAATAAACCGCTGGTATTCATAAAATACTTTAAATTAGATCATGAAACTTTGCATACTAACTGAACTAACTATAAGGCAGGGCTTATGTTTTTTTTTAAATAACAATTATTTTCACTGTAAAAAGAAATTAATTGAACTATCGGCGTCTTGAAGCTTGTTTCCTGCCGCCCGATCAATCTCCATCAGTCTTGCTTAGGCTTTCGAAGGGGAAAGCTGTACAGCTGTACTAACATTTTGGTGTCAGTTACAGGTTTTAATATAACTTTAATCTGTTTAACTGAGTAATAATTATCTCAGTTCTAACTAAAAGACATATATAAGAGTTAAAAGATAAATTTAGCTCCAACAGTGGTTCTAGAACTTTAATGAACGATGTTAGGTTGCTTTAAGAGTTAGAATAGTGCTAATCACAGCAAGTATAGTTAAGAAGTTGTAGCTTTGACCTGTTTGTAGCTCCTAAATCTATACAACAGTGCTCGCTGACTCTCGTTAACACTTATTGTTGTTTAGTTGTTGCCGTGAAGTGTCTTATATGCCTTTAGGTATTATATTGACTATAGGTGCAGACATGGGTTGTAAAATAGAGTTTGTCAAGAGTGTACTAACACAAGATACTAAAAGTGTTGAACAACTCATTTATGTAGTTTTAAGCTATAATTTTAATTTTACTAATGCTTATTGTGTTTGGCATATACACTTTAAATACATTGTAAAAGTAATGGTGTTATACAAGACAAGTATGGATATTAATACTCAAAAGCAGTCTTTCTAAAGTTGCGATTTGTTATAATTTTTGTTATAAACAACCTTATTACGAACTGAAGAAATTTTTCTACCAAGTATTATTATTAAGTTACATTAAAATGAAACGATTACAAAGATGGAGTAAACAAAAGAAAACAGGCGCAGTGAAAAAAAGAATTATGCAGGAATGCCGTATTTTTTTGGATTCACTTAATAATGGTACGAATGACACAAACAAATCACTTAGTTATGATGATATCCGATTAGATTCTGGTATTCCAGTTATTACGGAAAATAAAGAAGATTCGTTACAAAGAGAATATATAAATAGCCATAATACGAGTAATTTTGGTCAAGTTCGAGTGGAGGCACAGCAGGGTTCCGTAGAACAAGAACAAGAAAAAGCACAAGTAAATAACAATTTTTTCGATTCCATACCACTTAGTGCGTCAGAAGATGAAGAAGAAGAGGAAGAAAAATTTAGTGATATTGAAAAAATTACTGCACTAACTAAACAATTAAAAACGTGGTCCGTAGGAAACAATATTACCCAAACTGCTTTAAAACAGCTTCTGTTGATTTTGAATGAAGGCTACGTTAGTACGAGGGTGGATTGAAAAGTACTCGGCCTAACCAAGAAAATAAACACATACTAAATCAGTTATATTTTTATTTTTCTACATAATCACCATCAAGTTCAATACACTTTTGCCACCTCCCCTTCCAAGCATTTAGAACGTTGAAAAAAAATGATTCTTCCTTAGAGTCAAAATATGCGTCTACAGCTGCTTTGACCTCGTCGTTTGTCGAAAATCTTTGACCTCCCAAGTGCTTTTTTAGGTTAGGGAACAGAAATAAGTCTGATGGTGCTAGATCAGGTGAATACGGCGGATGCGGTAACAGTTCAAAGCCACAGTTGTGAATTTCAGCCATTGACTGTACTGACGTGTGAACACGGGCGTTATCTTGATGAAACAGGACTTTTCTTCTGAGCATTCCTCGACGTTTTTCTTTTATTTTCTCTCGTAAATGACGTAGTAAGGTGCAGTAGTAATCAAAGTTTATAGTCTGACTCCTTTCAAGATAATCAATCATAATCACACCTTTCGAGTCCCAGAATACTGAAGCCATCACCTTGTTTGCCGACAAAATCGACTTAGCCTTTTTTAGGGGGTGGTGAACCAGGTCTTCTCCACTGTTTTGATTGTTGTTTTGTTTCCGGTGTACAGTAATGAACCTATGTTTCGTCCATAGTAACAAAACGATTCAAAAAATCATCTGCATCGGCTTCAAATAACTCCAAACAGTCGCGTGAAATAGTCAATCGCGTCCTTTTTTGTTCAACTGAAAGCAGTCGCGGAACCCACCTCGCAGACACCTTGTGGAAACCCAACTCGTTGACAATGATGTTTTTAGTTCGTTCATAAGAGATGCCTATAATCTCGGCTATCTCTCTAATTTTTAATCTGCGGTCTCCCATTATTAAATCAAGTACTTTTTTAATATTTTCGTCAGTAGTTGACGTCGAAGGCCTTCCAGAGCGGGGTTCACCTTTCACACTCTCTCTACCACGCTTAAATTCTGCTATCCATTTTTTGACGGATGAATATGACAGAGCACAATCGCCTAATGTACTGACCATGTCATCATGGATGGCTTTTGATGATAGCCCCTTCTTATGGAGGTACTTAATGACGGCACGCTGCTCGATTTGCTCCATTCGCGGAAATTATGTCCGATTACTTTATTAATAAATTTATAAAATCACAACTAATTATCGCACACGTTTCGAACTTCACACAATGAACTAGTCTGAACTGAACTAAATAATGTGGTTAGATTTGATTTTTAGAATTGAATGGATCTGTGTTAGGCCGAGTACTTTTCAATCCACCCTCGTACTACATTATTACTTCCGAAAGATCCACGCACTGTTTTGCGTACTCCAAAAGAAATTTGTATTAAAAATATAGAAGGAGGACAATATTGGCATCATGGTATAACTGAACCGTTAATGAAATTACTTAAGGATTTCACGCCCATTCCAAATAGCATTCATTTAATCTTTAATTTTGACGGTCTGCCAATATTTAAGAGTGCCAAAAAGGAGTTTTGGCCAATATTAGCCAATGCAGAGGGGAATGTATTCACAATTGGAATATACTATGGTACAGGCAAACCAAAAATATTAGAAGAATATTTAGAAGATTTTGTAACTGAGATGAAATCATTACTTAGTAATGGAATAATTATAGATGAGAAACTTGTTTCTATAAAAATCAAATGTTTTGTTTGTGATTCTCCAGCAAGGGCATTCCTTAAAGGTAAATATTTTTAATTTATGGCCGTATTGAAACTTTAACATTATTGTTATAATCGTGATAGACGAACTAAATTACTATGTATAGTCAATTTTACGAATTATTATTATTATTTTATGAATAATTTTCATTTAAATTTTGTGATGTTCTGTATTCAGTCTTTAATCATTGCTTTAACGCTCGTATGTACTGACTAAATTAGTTAGGCTAAGATTTCAAGGCGATCTTTTCAAATTTTCTAAGTTATTTGTATTGGCTAAATGTGTGACATACTTTTTTTCAGGTGTATGTAATTTTAACGGAAGACATGGATGTTTAAAGTGTACGACGGTTGGAGAATATTCGCATACATCTCATACTGTAGTCTTCTCTACCAAGGAAGATTCTCCAAGAACAGATGAAAATTTCAGAGCTAAACTTTACGGAGGTCATCATAAAATAGATTCTCCTTTACTACAATTGCCAATTGATATGGTAGAAGATTTTCCAGTAGCAGATTCTTTGCACCTCATAGATCTGGGTATAATGAAGAGGCTGCTTATTGGGTGGCGAGATGGCAATTTTGGAACATATATGACTAAGCTGTGTGCGCGAGATATTGAAAACCTAGAGGCATTTTTAAAAAACTGTAAATTACCGTCTGAGATCCACCGGGCAGTAAGAAGTATAGATTGTCTCGCTTATTGGAAAGCAAGTGAATTTAGAATTTTTTTTTATTATTTAAGCGTTATCATATTGTCTGATATCCTTCGTGTTGATGTTGTTGAACACTTTTTGAGTATATTTTGCTCTATTACGATATGTTCCAATAAATGTTACACAACTTTACTACCACTTGCCAGAGAAATGCTGAAACATTTTGTAGATCAGTATAAATATTTCTATGGTTCTCATTATATCACCAGTAATGTGCATAATTTACTCCATATTGTGGACGAAGTTCAAAAATTTGGCCCTCTTCACAAGTTCGATGCGTATCCATTTGAGAATCAATTATATTTAATCAAGAGAATGTTAAGACAGGGTGACAAACCTCTGGCACAAGTTGCTAAGAGAATTTGTGAGAAAAGTACAATTAATCTTTTGATGACAGCAAAAACCACGAATAATGTACCCTACTTGATAACTAGTAAAAGTAATCGTAAAATTCACTTCAAAAACTTTGTCCTCTCTTTAAAGCCAGAAGATAAATATTTTATGACTCACAATGATGATATATTTGAATTAAAAGACTTGTCCCCTGGTAGTGAAAAAGAGGTTACCATAAGTGGTAAAAAAATTTTGAACAAATATATCATATTTGACTTACCGATTAAGTCATCGTTTTTAAGTATGTATAAAGTAAAAGAACCTTATGTTGTCTCTGATGATGTTATAGTAATAAATCCAAATGAAATCAAATGTAAATTAGTTTGTATTAGTCATAAAGATATAATATACTTTCTACCATTATTACATACGCTGTAGGTACTCAAATGATAAGCAAACTTTAATTTGAAAATTTCTTTATTAAAACAGTAAAAATTTAAGAAAAGATTGTTGTACAAATATGGTTTTTAGAAACAAAATATATGTTTGCTTTCACAATATTTTCTGAAATAAATACTCTGTATGTGAATTATGAAAAAATCAATGAAGAGAATATTATTTATCCATCATAATATTAAAAATGCTTTCTTTAGCTTAGATTGCTATAAAAAAACAAATAAGTATACCTAAACTAACTATGGTAACTAATACAATTTAACATATTATGTTGTACTTAACAAAGTAATTGTTTTGAGATAATACAGCCTTACGTATTAGTAGGTATATTTTTCACCTATAGGTATATACAACGTAACAAAAACCCTGTGGTTCCCGTTAAGTATGTTATCAGGATCAGTATTTAAACCTATAGAAATAACTAGTTTTTAAATTTTATTAAAAAAATATTTTATTTTATGTCGTTTTATTGCCTCTTACTGACACTAGCCGATGCTAAAGCTTAGTAAAGCGAGGTATTTGACAATCCTCTTACTCCACCGATAATGCAGAGGTAATAAAACCACATACAATTCGCATACAATTTTTTTTAATTAAAATAAAAAATATTGTTCGAGTTTTTACAAAAAAAGTTATTTCTATACGTTTGAATAATGATCCTGATAGGGTTTTAGTTACATATTGTATATCTACTAACTTGATCTACATAATAAATATTAACCTACAAAAATATTTTTAAAAATTCGGTAATGTCTAGTAATTATTTCAATCAGTCTCGATTTCCAATTATAGCCTTACATATGACAAAATAAAAATAGATAAAAATAATACTCTAATAGCTTTAATCTTTACATAGTTTTCAGAATATCAAACGAAATAGTATAATATATAATAAATATTTATAATTGCTTAATGTAACGATTCCTTTTCTTCAATTTCAGACACTTGTCTCCTTTCCAATTATAACGTTACTATTATATTTGGCGATGTCTTTTGAGATATTTTTTATAACATCGCCTTCTTTATTTTCCTTTGTGTGTTCTTCTACTGAATCATTTCTTTTCTTCTTATTTATCGTGTTTTCTTCTTCGTTTATCTCATTCTCACTTTCACCGTTATCAGAAGTTACATTTGTCTCATTTTCTTCTGAAAACTTCATACGTTTCAAATTATTTTTGGGTTTCGAACGTTGCCTTGATGTTGAAGCTCTTTCAAGTTTTGCAATTTTTCTTTTTTTGGCATTTTTCAAAATCGTTTTGAAAAATAATTCATTATCTTTTAAAGAATATTCCTGATCCCAATAGTGCACCATATTCCAGAAAAAAGACAAGACATGTTTATAACCTTTTAAAGGAATTTTCAAATCTTCACCTCTGCTGCCCCCACTCCATGAGCACTCACAAATAAATTTCCTTGTAAACATAACATCAACAAGCATATAAGCACAGTCTATAGCTTTACCTCCAGAACAAAGTATAGAATATCTATTTTTCAAACAGTCTATTGTTTGGGTCCGATAACTGATTTTCGAGTTCATCTAACTCCTGGGCGCTGTCAACTGGCTTTTCATATATTGGAATATTTTCAACATGGCCTTTGCTGCTATTTAAAGTTTGCACGTCTTGATTATACGATGAAGTTATTTGAAATACTGCGTCTTCCATTTGCACAGACAAAGCAGACACCTTTTAAATGAAACTATTTTGCACATTTTTTAGAGACTGAATCTGGGCGATAATTGCCGAGTTATTATCCAGTTGCTGCTGTCGATTTTGATAAATTTGGCTTAGAATAGTTGCTTGGTTATCTAATATTTGTTTTTGGTTCTCAAACATTTTACTGATGTCAAAGCTTACTGAATCCTGTACTAAAGGTGTAGTATCATTTGAAAAGACTTGAGATGTATTTGTTGAATTTGCTTGAATATCCTCGGTATAAACTAAGTTATAGTTTAATTCAATCGGCAAGTCAGCGGACGATGACGCTATGTCTGTGTTACGGTTAGTCAAAACAACATTGCCCATCTGAAACAAAAAAGAGCCGGTAAAATTTTATTAAACAAGACTTGACAAAGAGTTTAAAAATAAATAGACTAAATGTTTAAAAAACATTAATTCATTCTTTATAGGCTACTAAAGTCATAACCTTCATTTAATATGTAGTTCTTACCATATCTTGTGCTATTGGATTCAGATTTAAAGATTTGTTATGTGAACGTCGCCGCTGCGTATAATTATCGACATCGTCCTCCGTATCACTGTGCTTCAGCATTTCAGATACAAGCTTTTCTCCGTTTTCGTAGCTTAATACATCGGTCCGTTTTACTTTACATTTTATTACGTCCCAGTCTAGCGTTGGTGTTGAATTTTCATCTTTTAAATACTTTGATATGCATTTATTTGGATATCTGAGAATATTGTTAGATTCCCAACCCGATGGAATAGTAAATAATTTATATTTCTTTCCCTCCAAGGTTTGAACAACTTTGAACGGCATGCTGAAACAATAATAATAACAACTTAGTACACAAATTCAGACAACGGAAAACATACGTAACACGTATATACGTAATTACTCAAGGTATAACAAATTGTCCCAATAGAGAAAATCTTTCTTCATCAATTTACATAGCGTGCCAATTATTATTTTTTTATTTTGACCCACATTTTGGTGAAAGTTGTTAACTTTAATTTATCCTCCACCTCCACACGTATCCCTTAGATATTTCGTTACAACCTGATAAACATAGATCATGTCGTTTGCGGCTCTAAAAGCAAGCATTTGTGGCCAATAAGAACGTTCATATATAAAAAATAATTAAAAACAATTACATAATTTCAATTTTCATAGTTACGAAACTACAAGTGACATTGAATCGGCGATTAAAAAAATCATAACATTGTACGTAGTTGTATATGCAACCCTTAAGAAACACTTGCACTAGCACTTCTTACTAGTTTGTGCTTAAGAAACTTAAAAACTATTAGGTATTACTGGATTTACCGAAGTCACATTTGCCATATGGATGAAGTCGCGGGTAGTTAAAACAAAAAAGTTGTCCCAATAGTGTTTTTGTACATAATAGTACCACGTCATAGGGGCGAAAATAAAGATGAGCTAAACAATATGGTAGATATCTATACCTACATAGAAACAAGGTCTACCTACTTCCACGTACCTATTTCAACACAATATTATATAAATAAACAAATCTTTCGGCACAAGTCCCAACTTACACTATCTACCTATAGTCTAACATTCTATGTTACATTAAGTTAAGATAAATAATGAATGTTATTGAATGACTGACCTTGTACGCGTTTTATTTTCGGGTATCAAAGTGAGATGATCAGACGACACTGCTCGAGCCGCTGACGCATTGATGTCCGTTTTCACTCGTCGACTGTGTAAGACTGAGTGACTGTGACTGACTTATTTTGCGAGTAAGGAACTGAGGAGATATTACGATTGTAATGAGTAAAAGTTATAGAAACCTGGACAATCCTTAAAAATAAATGTTTCTTAGGAAAAGTGGTTTGTTATGATGTGTAGTATAATACTACAATCGAACTAATAAAAAGACACCTTACAAACCATATAAATCATTTACTCGGTTTAAGTAATACCAAAACATTGTTTTTTTGTGGTTTTTTTTAATACTTGCAGGTTTTGATTATTTCGTTGAAGAACCCTAATCCATCCAGTTCGTAAAATGTTTAGCCGGTTGTATTGCCTTGGCTATAGTAAGTATATTTATTCAAGTCTATTATTGCACTGTTAAGTATACTAAAGACTGCACAATATTCTTGAGTAAAGATGTTGTATCTCAAAGTGTGTAATAGATGACTTAAGTGAAGACCTAAAGCTTTAAGTAAGTTCGCCATTGTTTTGGTAAACTAACCTATAAATTGATGACTGGATTATTCAATATTTGACAACAAAATACTTCATTATTTTTGTTAATTTTGTTATTCCATTGATGCCACTTAATTTAACATGCCACTGGCCAGGATGCAAGAATAAATATGATACAAATTTGGGGTGTCTGTTTTATTCTTCATAACTTTTATTTGAAATCTCTAACAAATCCTGAGCGCGTTAAAATTGAGATGGAAAACATAGTATACACTTACCGTAAAATCACAATGGCTGATTGTTTTCACTTCACAAACTAAAATAACTTGAACACTTTATTATAACTCCTCTGTCAATTATGTCTCGCCATTCGGTAAGCTGTTCTTCGTTGTCACAATTTTATTATGTCGTTTATAGGATTTCTCAAACGAGACTTGAGCTTGAGAGTATTTTATATAACTATTACGCGTTAAAGTGTAAAACAACTATTTTTAATAGGTCTAATGAAGTTTTGAGTGATAAATTATTCTTAGCCGACGTTTTTCTATGTCCCAGAGTGTTAACTAACCCATCTACAACCACAATAATACCGGTTAAAGTAATAGCTGAGGATGAATAAACACTCTTATGTAGGTACTTTAACACCTTTATACCGTTGCTCTACAGGCTTTCTATAACCTTTACCTGTAAAATCGTGGGCCTCTTTCGTGGTTATAAGTGAGTTAGAGCACTCTATAACACCGCTGCTACAGGTATTCTTAACACTTTGATACTCGAATGGATCCCATATACGAACGATATACAGGTTGTTTTAACGCTACCGTGCTAGTTGGGTGTGTCGCTTACAATCAGAATACATATTACGTAACAGGATGACATAAAATTAAAATGGGAAATAACCGTAATAAAAATAAGAAGAGACTGGGTTGGCATAAAGAAACGGGCATAAATATGATAAACCTAATGAAATGAGTATCTTACGACCTATCTACTTACAGTATTAGTGATTACAAACATGTCGGTACATAGCATAGGTACGACGCGCGGGGAAGTGGGGGCGAAATTAGAATTTGAGCCGACTTACTATATCCCCTTAAAACGAAGATTCCCCGACCTTAGCCCGTTCTTTATCAAACCAGAGTTTGTCTTTCGCTGACGCCTCGTTCATCCTTTGTTGCACATGACATTGAAATGCATCGTAATTAATGGATGTGGTATAAAAATTGATCAAATTAAGTAACTCGGGGAATACACAGTTCGATCGTCGGGTGAGAAGTATAAGAAGAGTAGTGTCTATCGTTCTATGTATTTATCGTTTTTTTTTTTTGGACGCATTTCTAATTCGTCAGTGTTAACGTGAGATTTAGCGTAAACTTGAGTAAAGACGTAAGAGTACTTATTAAGAAGAGCAATTAGTTGATTTATCTCCAATTCATCAATTAAAACAGGATTAAAATTTTCTAAAATAGGACTGTGACCGTATATGCACGACACGAGTTTTAAGAAATTAGGGTAGCACTATTTCGGGTAATAATTACCACTTAGACCCGTTTCATGTAGTAAGTTCGCAACAATTAAAACGTCTGAAGTTATTTCGAAGTCGGGTAGTACGTGAAACAAAATCTCTATAGGAACATTATTAATCACACATAATAGCTGTTAATGTGCTGGTAGACAGGGAACGGACCTATTCGACATAAATAGTTCACAACTTGATTCTTATGCCCTGGAAATTAATTCGCAATGTATTCACGCATAATGGAATACTCGGCGCCGCTATTGAAAACAGTATTTATAAGCAAATTACCTACTCGAACACCCACGATGTTTAAGATAGAACTACGGATACATCACTCACTTCATTTATATTAGAAATTATTTGTTTTTCGCCGCGAAAACACGACTCGAATGTGTGGTCAGGCTTTGAACAAAATGAACAAAATTTACTATCACTATGTGAATGTGGTCTCTCCTACATAGGACAAACTAAAAGATCAGTTAAAACCCGCGTTAAAGAATATATAGCTGATGTGAAGAATCGACGCTCCGGGAAGTCTGCAGTCTGTGAACACGCACAGGATCGCCTCAGTCACTACATCAGACTTGATAGACCACAAATCCTCGCTAAAGAACACAGATTCCTTCCAAGGATGATTCGCGAGGCTATGAAATCAAAAATCATCCTAATTTCAATAGAGAAGATGGCTGGGTGCTACCATCTGCTTGGGATCCTATAATAAATAAAATTAAATCCCAACCCAAGCATACAACTGCAAGACTTCGAGATAGTTTATAAACAAAAGTGAAATTTTAATCAATGGTAGCCGCGGTTAACTATGACATCTGGACGTTGAACATCTCAGTCCCCCCAGTGACCATGGGTGCTGTAAAGCGCTCGAAACGTCGGGTATTTAAAAAGTTAAATATACGCGATAAAATTCGTAAAAACTAGTTATATCAATTTACTATCACTAGTTGTAGCTAAAGGCGTCGACCGATTTTTATCGAATGAAAGGAAATTAGAATATATAATTCTTTCAATTAGAATTAGAATTACTATTACCAGAAGTATGACCGATCTTTTAGCAAATGCTACAAGAAGAACCTATGTTATCAAAAGAATATTTAAAACGTTTTTGGGGCGGTAGATTTGAATTATTTTGGGATGCAATGGGACGCTTAACACGAATGGATGAAGCAAAGGATATCAATTCTGGCACCAAGGTAGTCCTAACATTCATTAACTCAATTCCAAGGCGTTCGTCACCCACAGTTCCGAAAACGGCCTCTACAGCATCACTGTTTTCAAGTTTGTCTTTCGTCACGCGTCTCCATAGAAGCCATGCCCGAGATAAGAACTCTGCGATATCTTTAGAAGAGTCGTAAACGTGTTCTCTAAATCTCAGTACGTCACGCGAGTAACGGTTTTCTGATTCGAAGGTGGTGGTAATGTTTTGACACAAATCTTCCCACGTAGAAGTCGTCACTAGCCAGTTATCGGCCCACATTTTAGCACGTCCCTTCAAAAGGCTAGTGACTAATTTGAATGTCATAATCACCGAGTTTATAGGTGTTTTTAGACGAAGAAATGTGATTGCACCACTCACGTACGCCAACATTACCATCTAGGTCATAAAATGGCAGAAACTCATCAGTTATTTTAACCTTATCGCTAGATTGTTGCAAAAGCCGCTCACTCATATTCTGCATCATGGTCATCATATGCATAAAGATAGGGTTGCTGGACAAGTTCGTAGGTAGAGCCGGTATTGAAGCTGATATGCCCGAAGCGAACGCGCTCTATGGAACCTCCACATGATTTCCAGTATAGTCAGGACATAAAAAATTTTGATCTGTGGAAAAGGATCGCTGGGGCGATCCCACTTCTGATGTCGGAGCGGAAACCTCGGGGTTGTTTTTTGGTGAGGCAGCACCACTGTCCCCATTTGACAAGGGTTCAGTCGTGCTACCGTATATTGTGTCCATTATAATGAAAGAGATCTAAGATCACACACTTTTTAATTTTATACCACAATAACTTTATTCTACACTTCTTTTTATAAAAACTCACAAATAATACTCACAAAGTTTTACCAGGAAAATAGAATTACACCGACGAGCGCAGTAACTGAAGTGAGTCT